GCTACCGGCTACGAGTTCCATTCCGCGAGAACAAGATTCAAGAACGCCACACCCCATGACTAGTTTCCAAGGACACCCGGTTCGTTTTAAGCTGGGGGATCTGCGGAGTACTGTAACGCTTCCCCACAAGGTTCACGTCTCCGGCCCTTTATCGTACCTCGATGCGCGACTGTTAGTCCATGTCTTGGCCAAGGAGTACTCGTCGGCTTATCAGCTCCTGGGTCTGTCAGAAACACCTTCATCTCGCATCAACTCTGATTACGAGAGCCAAGACTGACATTTCCGTCGTCGGTCAGGTATTCAACCTGCCTCCTCACCGAACATCACCGCGCCCAGGGCTCCACCAATCTGGCACAAGACAGAACTGCTCGCTGCCGCAGAAGAGCATCACACGCCTACACAATGACGTCTTCACGCGGTGCCGACTCGTCGGGCTCGCCATGCTCGCGAAAACGCCCTCGTGAGGACTCTCCGGACGACTGTCTTCCAGACGACGACGCCAGAGACGGCAACGACACATCCCAGAGCGCAGCCGATGGTCGACTTGGCTCGGTGGCTGGCCAAAGCACCAATTTTCGCAACGTCAGTGCCTGTAGTCGATGCCGTTCTCGTAAGAATCGATGTGACCAGAGGCTTCCACGCTGCACCAGCTGTGCCAAAGTCGGTGCCGCCTGTGTTGGGTATGATGCGCTGACGAAAAGGGAGCTGCCCAGGAGGTGCGTTGTAGCAGTCCTCGCATTGAACCCGCTCTGAGGGTTACTCGGTGTCCATTGCTAATGAGTGCATTAGCTACGTCTTTTATCTTGAGAATCGGGTGGAAAGATTGGAGAAACTACTCGTGTCGCATGGGATAGCTTTCCCACCTGCCGATGATCTGGACATGTCCTCTCGCGGGGAGGCGAATGGTGACGAGCCAGGCGCATCGTCACCTGGACGACCTGCAATTCAAGACAGCCTAGACTTCTTCCTTGGCAACCGTTGTAAATCTTTTGCCTCGTCGGACAATAAAGCCAATTCGCCCAAAGCCATGGGCCGAGACTCCATGGGCTCTGCTTTGCTCAACCCCCAGACTGCCGCCACCTTCATGGCCGTGGCACTCCATACTACTCAGACATCAGCTCTCGACAATGAAAAGATGGTCAAATATCACATGGAGGACCCCCAAGGTTTCGAGGCACCGCGTTGTACGATGCCAGACAAGACCCTCGCACTCAAGCTGGTCAGAGCCTACTTTCACCGAGCCAACCCCCAAATTCCCATTTTGGAACGCGCGTGCTTCACCAAAATATTTGACAAGGCATATTCAGGCCAAGGAGGCGGCTTGAGGCCTCGGGAACAGTACCTACTGAACATGGTGTTTGCCATCGGGTGTAGCCACGGCTTTATTAACGAGCAAGACAAGGACAAGGCCATAGGCGGTCCATGTGTCGGGTCAAATATGTCCAAGGCTAACCTTTCGCCCGAGGAGTATTATTCACGAGCCTGCATGTATTTCGACCAATGCATCGTGCGAGAGAAGAGCTTGGAAGTGCTGCAAGCCGTCCTGCTTCTGGCCAGCTTTTCGCTTCTGCGGCCCGTGTTGCCAGGCGCTTGGTGAGCTCGAGTACATCGACCATTCATTCAAGACGGTGAAAACGGCTAACTAGAACAAGGTACATTACCGGGATTGCCATGCGCATGGCCATCGACCTAGGCCTGCACTGTGACACCGACGACGACGCCCCAGACCGTGTTCCCCATCCCATGGAGCATTCTCAGCCCGGCGTTGCCAACGGGGATGAGTGTGCAGAGACCGACGAGACTGCCCCGACGGATATTCGCGAAGTAAGGAGACGCCTATGGTGGTGCACGTACAGCCTGGATCGACTTGTGAGCATCAGCGCCGGCCGGCCGTTTGGCATCAGCGACAATGATGTATGCACCCCGTTGCCATCCTTGGACGAGGACGACAGGCTAAAGGACGGAGAAAGCACAACGAGTGCCGAATCTCACGACCTGCCACAAAGTTACAAGTATCTTACACATCACTTCATCAAGCTGCGGCTACTCCAGTCCGACATTTACGCCACGGGCCGAACTTGCAAGGGGCACGCCTCGAAAATCACCATCCGGCAAGAAGAGACGGCTTCAGAGTCCCCCTTCGAGGCAGACTCTGACCCCGAGTCCAAGTGGCAATGGCTAGAAGGCATGGAGAAGCGCGCCCTCGAGTGGAAGGCGTCGGCGCCCACGACGCACGTCACGGGTGTTTTGTTCCCCAAGGCCATTTTCGAGTTTTACTACTGGCAGACCATTGTGCTCTTGTACCAGCGCGATGCCAAGATCCCCGCCTTGATGCAAGAGGTGCAGTCCGTCTTGGAGAAGTTGCACGCCTCCGCGGCCCCGGCCTCCTCGGAAGCAGACGTATTCACAACAAGGAGATATATAAAGATGGCCCAAGCCGGACAGCGGGTGCTGCGCATGTACCGACAGCGCCACCTCGCCGGCTGCATCAAGTACACGTACAGCTCGGCACTGTATCTCTTTTCCGTCGCTATTTCCTATCTCCACGCCGTGGCGCAATCATCCGCCGTGCGTGCTCGGTTTGTACGTTGTTTTTTCACCCAAAAAAAAAAAAAAAAAGAAGGAAAAGCCGTTCTAACCCCCCGTTGCATAGACACCGGATGACGTCGACTTTACGATTCTGGCGGCGAGGTCCATCTTCGCTGACATGGCCGATACGTGTCCCGATGCGACGATGTGGACCGAGGCGCTGGAACGGACGGCCAAGGCAACCACGAGAATCACCCGACTGTACGACGACCTGGGCCAGCCGTCCCGGCCGACAGACTGGGACGATGACGGCGGTGCTATACTTTCAGACCACGGCGTGACCTCGGTAGCATCAGACGCCCAGGTCGGCGGGCGGGAAGACGGCGCACACGCGTGGCAGACGCTGGGGGGATACGAGGATTCCCGGCCGCGCGGGAGCCCAATACACGTACGTGACGACTGCAATTGTGAGAAATGGCCTTTGTCTAACATTTTGGCGCTTAGTGGGATTTTGCCGACGAGACTACGTCGTTCCGGCTGGCGGGCGATGATGCCGTTTCGGCGTTGGACATGGCCGTGCCGCCGTTCGGCTCTCTGCCGGCGCAGGCGCTGGCTGACATGGAGAGCAGGAGAGGCGACATTGAGTCCGGGGACCTTTTTGATCTGGAAACTATATGGCAGCTGGACAATCTTGCCACAGAGGCCCCGCACATGTGTCGAGTGTTGAATGTTGGCGCGTCGGCGGTGGAAACGGGGCAGGGTTGAGCGGTCTGGTGGTATTTGTCGTGTAGGGCTGGATAACTCATCGCAGACTTGGCGTCGGTCGAGGGAGATCATTCTTGCCTTTTGGGTCGATGAGGATGATGCCAACCTGTGGCATCTTGCAGAGACGTCTTGTGCAAAGAGGACCGCCATCGCTTGACCTTGGTGATGGATCTTGCTTGATGCGACGCTGCGGATTTGCTTGCCGACGCCGTGGGAACGTGATTGAGAAGAGGAACGCGCTCTTTGCTGAGCAAGTATACTGTGAGAAGGGCTCTGATGAAATGCTTGGGACAATTTCGCATTCAGCTCATCGTTCGCTTTGATATCAAAGCTTGGCCGTTACGTGCGTCATGGGCCGTCTTGGATTCGTCAGATGAGTACCAGTCTGTTCTATATAATGGTTTATTGTTATGTAATTACCATGCTTGGATGTAGCGAATGACAGGCAGATATTTGACAATGGACTTGTAAATGAGGCTTTTGTCGGGATTAAGCTTCTGAACTTTGTAGTTTTTCTTGCTTGTCATGATTTGATGCACAACCAAATTGAATCAAGAGTGTCTGATTTGTGATGGTTGGATTCCTATATGAAAAACTACCAGTTAGCCACTTTGTACATGTTTCCAAGTCGGCTCACTGGCGAGCAAGTACACGACGGGAAGGAGTTGTGCGCTGTCACACGGATGACACGTTGCCATGAAGGCACGGGCCGAACCTTGAACCTGACGATAGTTACACAAGGGCTCTAATCACGAGACCTAGGGCAAGGTCCTTTACTGCCTCTTGATATAAATAAAGGTCTTCTGCCCTCAGGACTTTAAGGAAAACTAAGGACCTTTGATATCAAAGCAAAGTATTAGTTGAATACGAATGTTGTTCCAAGCCCTATAATAATAGCCCTTGTCACATGCGCACAATGGCTTCTTTGGCATGGTCAGAAAGTGGTGAGTTTTCTCAGGGGCTTGTCTCGATGCCTTCGTCTTTGCATTCCTGGTCGCCCACGAGCCGCTCATGAGTGACGCATCTGAACTCTGGCCATCACTTTAATGAGTCCGTTGTCTTCGGAGAGCTATGGGAGAACCGCACCAAATTTTGCTTTGTGCAGTTTGGCAACAGTTCTAATTGGTGCAAATTAGAACTTGAACTATTAGATTATGAGACTTTCCATCTTATTTTGAACGTCCATGGTTCGCCATAGGAGCTATTTCGCTGTAGTCAGGTGTGACAAGGGCTCAATAGAGGGCTTGGAGCAATTTACTCAATTCATCTAATAACAGTCTTTGGTATCAAAGGTCCTTGGTTTTCCTCAAGGCCTTAAGGGACCAAAGACGTCTATTTATACAAGAAGTCGGTGAGGACCTTCTGCCCTAATCCCGTGACCGTAGCCCTTGTGTAACCAACGCTATTTCCGTGTAACAGGAAGAGGTCAAATCTAGTGGTGCACGGAAAAGGCCCAACAGATCGTGAGGCCTAATAAAGGGGCTTTACTAATATAGGACTTATTAGTTACACAGCGTAAACACGTGCCCGGGTAAGGGCTTTAGGCCTAGGCGTTCCCTTAATATATATAAGGTGGTTAGCTTTCTCTTCTTCTCTTGTAGTAACTTAAGACCTTAGAGACCCTTTGAGATTATTATGGAATTAAGCCCCTTATGCTCCAAGCCTTCTGTATTGAACCCTTGTCACATCTAGTAACATGTACCCCGTTATATTCCGTAAACAAACTTGTGCCAGTTCTCCTGTGACGTCTCAACGCCAGGCTTCGCCTCCACCTCCCACTCAACTCGGGTTCCTGCTCGACCTCGCATGATATTATCCGAATATTGAACCCCGTCCATACAGTCGGCCAAGGGCCCATAATACTCTGGGTCTCTTTTGAGACGAGTGCTTGGCTTAAGAACTTCTTTTTTGTGACGATTGCCAGGTTGAAGGGCATCTCTTTTGTGGCTAATGTCAGATATAAGGGCCTGTTTGTGCGGTGACAGCCCGCGCGGCGATCGTATGAGAGCCGACCCCCTGCGCTCCCTTTGGATCCTGTTCTGTTTGATTACCTGTGCCAGGCACCAAGGCGAATCGGTCCAAGATTTAGGTTTCACACGTCTAAATAAGCGACAGTCAACCTCGAGCACATTGTCACGTCTAACAGCAATCTCCAACGGAGTCCCGACCAAGCCTGGGCAGTGGCCTTGCCGTTTCTGGTCCGCGCCGCTGTCAATCAAGAGTCGAACAATACTTCTGGCATCTACATGATTCGAAAGGCAGGCAGCCTGCAGCGGGGTTTGGCCCTCCCAGACGGAATTCACATGGGCGCCGCTTTCGATGAGAAACTTGCATATTCTGTAGTGTCCCCAGGTTGCGGCTGTTACGAGTGCTCCGTCCATGTTGGCACCCTCCTGGACGAGCAACTTGACCACGGCCAAGTGATTTCCTGATACTGCACGGAATAGCAGCTCCGCCTGGGGAACCTGAATACTCTCGGTACAGCCAGACATGCATGTTTCATCCTGTGTCTTTCTTGTCTCCAAGCCGTCGCCCTCGTCGAGCAAGAGCTTACACGTCGCCGGCTGTCCACCATCGATGGCAGACATGAGTGGTGTGTAATTGCAACTCGGGTCCACTGAGCCCAAGTCGGCGCCATTCCGCAGCAGCATGTTGGCAATTGCCTCGTGCCCTTGGTATGCGGCACAAGATAATGCCGTGAGATTGTTGTATGCCTGGTTGACGTTGGCACCGCTCCTTAACAGCAGCTCCACGGTCGCTACGTGGCCATTGTTGGCTGCTAAACACAGCGGCGGCCAATGTTCGTTCTCTTCGTTGCCTCTAAAGCCATTTACGTCGCATCCCTGCCTTATCAGTTGCTCTGATATCTTGGCAAGTCCCAAGAATGCTGTGACGTGGATGCTAGTCATGCATGTATGCGACTTCCTTTTGGCTTTTCGGCAGCGCCTCACCATATCCAAGTATTGAACTATGGGTGTCTTCATTCTATTCAACAACAGTCGACCCAAGGCATATACTTTGGCTTGGTTACCGAGAAGCCGCAGTTCCAGCTCCTCTTCCTCTGCGCCACGAGCATGGAGGCCCCAATTCGATATCGCGTACTTGCAGAACGGGTACTGCGAGAAAAGATCTTGTGATGAAGATGCTTGCTTGTCAAAGTCTTGCAAGAAGAGATAGTCAAGACAGATATTTGCCATGATCCTATGTGCATTCTTCATGGCCAGAGAGCTGGTCCAGCTATTGCAAATCTCATGGTCCTTCTCTGCAGCACTCGAATTGTTCCGTGGGTTGATACAACACATGTGGCTCGCCAAGTACTGTCGTGTCGTTTCATGAACTAGGCAAATAATGCTAGTCTGTTCGTCAACCATGACTAAACCCACACAGGCGGACGATATTATCGTAATAGCCTCTGTATTACCTTCGTCTAGTTTGACTTGGCCCATCTCTATAGCAAGCGCGTATTGGAGCTCTGTAGTCGTCATGAGGCTTCCTGCGCAGCAGAGAAATGTGAGAACCCTCTCAGCAAGATGCCGAAATCCACAACGCTGCTCTCTAATTCTGGCAATGCTGATTGCATAAGCTTGATCTAATGAACATTGCCCACGTAGTATATTGTTAAGCGCCTGGTCAAGCTGTTGTGTTGTTGTCTTGTCTATAATAGATTGGAAATGCAATCTTGTAAGCAGGAACCTACACTGGCACTTAGAAATAGCAGCCAAATTTTATCTTGTATAAAAACTCACATGCCGTTGGACCTCCTAATAATAGCATTCTTGATCTTGGCCTTGTAATTCTCCCTGTGTTCCTCCAAAGCACAGTTACTCCCCACATCAAGGAGAGGAAGCTTCGACAGTCGATGCTCCATGTACTTTCCCATGTCTTCGTTCTTTGCTTTAATTTCCAACATGTCGCATGTGCCTTGAAACAGACGCCGTATCGTGACAATTCTTCGTGAAGTTGTCAGAATATTCGTCGACGTTTTGACTTGAAGTTTAAATAGCTCTTGTAATAGTGGCTCATGGCACCGGCCATCCTCGGCTTCACACTCATCAAGCGCGTCTATAATAATGAACACCTTTGAATATGCGGCAGCAAGCTGCTCAAGAGCTGTCAAGAGTTCATTATAAGATGGCCGTGTTGTTTTGTGCGCAATTGTATGGTTTTTGTGTAGGTTCTTTATGTTTTGCGGGAAGGGTGATCGAGTCTGAGCCAACTGCTTCACGAGGCTGGCAAGGAAATAGTAGCTGCTTTGTTGATGTTTTTGTTGGGAAATGCAGTAGATATAAGCCAGTCCAATCTTGTTGCTCTGTCGGGCGCACTTGATGATCTCTTGTATGGCAACCGACGCAAGAATCGTTTTCCCCGCCCCCGGGATACCTTCGCAGAATAAAGTCCTTTTATCGCCTTGAAACCATGCCTGAAATTTGGGTGACTTCAGAAACCATTCACCAGTACCAGGTTCCCACTTGGTCATGCAAGTGTTAAAATGAGTAGTGTAATCTGTTTCTGTGATCCATTGAAGAATTTGTTCTTGTTCCCTATATTCGACCCCGTGCCTTAGTTGGCCAACTTCTTGCCGTGAAGTCGATATACAACTAAGTACTGATATTAATTAATAGGAGCGGCAACAATTATTCATGGACGACTTACAAGTTGTAGCCAACTCTTTGATTGGCGGCTCGTTGAGCACCTGCTTGGGATGTATAAAAGAGATGAGATCCTTCGCGTATGCCGCCGCTACCAGGGCTGCATATCCCTGCCACTGATTATTTTTATGAGAATCAGCATAGTCACATATTCCTCGGATAACTATGCACGGAAAGTGATTCATCAGGCCAGCGGCTTCCATCTCAAAGCAGAGGATATTCTCTTTCGCCGCCCACTTATCCCGAATAATAGCATCTCTCATCAAGGTATCCGCAGAAGCGATAAGTCCGTAATGAACTACTAGGCCGCCGCCGCCTTTTTTGCGCTGGGCTCGAGCTATCAGGTTAGATGCATCATCGCCGCACACCAGACTGCAATCTTCTCCGAGCTTGTCCAGGGGGTGTGTGAAGGAGGAGCGGTACAGCCGGTCACTCGTGGCTGACGGGCGGCGGTATTTGTCTTTGTTATCAATATTATTGAGTGCGTCCTTGGCATTAAGGGCAATTCGGTTGCCCTTCCTGTCGTATTCAGCCTTTATCGCGGTTACTGCTTTTGCCAACGACGCGGGCGACTGGTCCAAATGCCCCGTGATGGCAAACTCGCAACCTTGGACTGCCTTTCCATAATCGTACTGTACCACTCCGCCTTTTCCGTCCCGTCGGCTGCTCACAACGATGTCGCCTAACCTAACATCATTCTTTATACTGGGGGCACCACCGCCGATACCGACCATCAGGCCGACCCTAACGCTCGGGAAGGAATGTTGCATGTGGTTTGCGACGACTGCTGCGGAGGACTTGCCATACTCCCTATCTGGCAAGATGGCAATGACAACATTATGTTTTCCCATTCTACCGAGTTTATAAAAGTTATCATCGGCGAGGGCGAGGTGTGCTGGTACTTCATGCTCCTCATCGAGGAACTCCTGGGCGGCTACGAACTCGGTTTCCAAGGCGCAAATCCAGCCAATAGTATAGTCCTTGGACTCATACATGGTGATTCATGCGGCGATTCACCACTGAGAATACTGAATAACTGGAAATGGGAAGAGCCTGGGTTCCTGAAATATGATGGGAGAGAGTGGGATGCTGAGTGAGATGAAATGCTCGAAATCCAAAGGCTGCCAGGACATAATATCTTGAGCGCAAATACCATAGCTGAAAAGCGAGAAAACGCAAGGCTTGGTTGTTGTATGGCTCGAATGGCGAAAGCACAGCCAGGATGCCATTGGAACAAGGCGACACGAGAGTCATCTGCCTCGTTGTTGGGCAGCATACAGGGTCTATTGTTGACAGACCAAGATATAGTGAGCAAAAGTATCACGTCTCACCCTGCAGCTGACAGACTGGCCCAACAGCAACCACCTACTTTCGCTTTGGTCCAATGAAACGGACTGTAGTAGGCCCTGGATGCTGCATCGAGGTACGTCAGCCCATGCAATGGACTTGAAGGGGCAAGTACAAGCCAATCTCTGCCTTAGCCAGTGTAACTGATGAGCATATACGTGGATTTTGGGTATCAGTGCATAGAGGTTTCAGTCTCGATCTGTGGATTTGTGAAGGAGGCGTGGGCCAAAGGTCTTGCCCGGCAGCCAGACCTTTGTATGATGGCGATTTAATCCATACAGAAAAACACCTCGAATGAAAATCTATTGACGAAAGAATGCATAATATAGAATCATCTAGCTTGATAGTTCTAGGTTTGTGGCTGGGCGAGGTTCCATCGCGTGAATGCTTCTTTGGTCGCCGTCTTTGCGCACCAAGTACTCCGTACCCGACATGATAAACCCAACACCCCGTGGAGCCATGGAATCTTTCGGCTAAACGGAAACGTATTGCAACACTGCATGAGGCTTTTTCTCAGAGTTGGGTGGGCATGTATGCAAACTCTCTGTGGATACATCAGCCGTCCCAAGAGTCGATATTCAAGGGCACTCTGCGGCTCAAGTGCTCCTTCTTTTCACTTGTGGCGCATCTCCCCTCAGAGTTTCTCAGCGATGTCTACGTCCATATTGAGTCTGGTGTCGCATATAGTCTAGCATCCCAGTGCAAAAGACGACCAACAAACAAGGACTGAGCCGGCGATCAGCTAAGCCATCCCTGACACCGTTGCCACTTAAGAAGCACCATCGTCTGCCCTCCACGTTGCTATGCATGCTGAGGAACCTGCGCCATGCTCCATACTCTAGCAAATCATCATTCGGGGCTTTTCCTGTACGTCACACATGCTGATAGGTCATGTAGGATGAGCAGGATATGAGGCTGGATGCAAGCTCGAATTGCATACGGAGCATTGTAACACGGGATAAGTAATCCATGTTATTGACACAGTGGTCTAGACAATGTCGAAAAAATGTGCTTGTGAGACATTTGAAGCCAATAAATGCACAAGTTGTCTTCTCAAAGCAAGGGTAGTTGCCATGTGTCACAAGGGGATGAATTGCTGTTGTCATATTCGTGCCCCCTAGTCATGTCACACGACACGACGCGCAGGGGAACATAAATGCTCTCCCCGGGCACTGAAAACTTGCCTCATCGCGTAAAACAGCCATCTGTCGCACAAGGTCGGGAAAATCCCTCACGGGTGGTGAGGCTCCGGGAAGCCGATACTCCGTAAACCACCGCAGTAAGCAACAAGGCCGCCCGTCCCATGGTTGTTGTTGATACCCATTTCATAGTAACGGGAGAAAGGCTTGGCTGCTTCATACTAGAATCGGTCTATGGGAAGGCTGGGCACTGATAATTTCTAGTCGAATGGTTCCAATATCAACAAACCCATCTTGGCCTGATGTCACACGGAAAAGGCCGGTTACACAAGGGCTACGGTCACGGGATTAGGGCAGAAGGTCCTCACCGACTTCTTGTATAAATAGACATCTTCGGTCCCTCAAGGCCTTGAAGGAAACCAAGGACCTTTGATACCAAAGACTGTTATTAGATGAATTGAGTAAATGCTCCAAGCTAGGCCCTTGTCACACTTCCTGTCCCGGATAAAAACCCTATTCGCCATGTTATTTGATAAAGACATCATCATTGCACCCTAAGTCTTGGTGCTCGCTCCATCCGGATCATACGCCACCACTTCAATCTCCACACGCATATCGTCTTCCCCGAGTCTGGCCACCCCGACACAGGTCCAGATAGGCTGGTGGTCGGGCATCCATTGCTTGAAATTTCTAGACATTGCCGCAATAGCTTCATTGTTTAGCGGAACATGATACGAGTTGACGCGAAAGACTTGCGGCCATCCCTTTCCCCCAGCATGCTTGAGGTTATGATCAACAGTCTTGAACGCCTGGTCGATCTGCTCGTTGATCTCGGTAGGGATGTGGTGCACCTTTCCCTCGGGGTCCCATCCGCCTGGCAAAGCTCAGCTAAGGCCAACGGCGAGTTTTGGATATGGTATTGGAACAATCGACTCACCCTGTCCGGAGCACTGAATGGTATCGCCGACTCTGACGGCCTGGCTGTACGAAAACTGTTCTCTGTTGCTGGTGCCTACGCCTGGGTAGTTGTAATACTGGAGATTGGCCATGGTGTCAAACTGCAATGTGTTGTATGAGGATGGGTTGGACGAAGTTATAATGTGTAATGGTGCGTGACATGTGAGGATATTTATATTTACCAGAGACGTTAGATGCACAGAGCCTACCGAGTACGACATGACTAGACGTGCGTCCCACTTCTTCTCTTGCCAGAAATCTTTGCAAGCTACCAGTCGACGTCTTCTTACAAATCAAGTATGATACAACTGTTTAATGCTTGCCAGTCCAACAAAAGGCACCATGTTGAATCGCTATACACGACGTCATCTGATATGCCATTGGTCAGTTCGGAGCCGCCTCCGCTCTGGCCGGAATGTGGATTCCGCAAAAGCGGGTCAACTCGATGTATTTCGGGTGAATTGCTCGGCGGGCCGTCATGTAATTGAGTAGATGGTGGTGATTATGAGGTAGCTAATAATCTCTGGCGAATTAATTTGTTAAAAAATATATACTAATCAATTATAATGCAATACCTAACAACTAGGTACCATGTAAGTCGTGAGCGCATCCAGCAAAAAGAGAAAGCCCGCGGAGCATTCACTATTTCGAATTATTTTTTCGCAAATTGGCCGATTCTCCTTCCACTTAATGTCATACCCCACATGTAGTAGATTTTACAAATCCGCCAAAATATCTCTTGTCAACCGAACAAGGTTCAAACCACAGGACAATAATGCCACTTGCAAAGTCGCCGCGCAAATGTCAGGAAAGACGCTGGTTCGTCTCGCAAACAGTTTCAGCTAGAAAACAAGTCCCATGGAAACGGCGGTTCAAGCCAATCCTTAAACTGTTCCCCTATGTCATCGCTTCCATCTTGGAGGGGGATTCCCTCTGCCGCTGTCGAAAACTCTCCCAGACTTGAGTCGCCCACTGTCGCTGACAGCCACAACGGCAAGCTCATTGCGTCAATTACTTGTCCAGACCACACCACATCGGCGGGCTGCATCAAATTGGTCACTTGGCTTGCTTCAGAAGTGGGATACAAATCCCCGTCGTGGTGATTCGCCAAAGCATCAGAAGTTGTAGCCCCTTTTTGTTGACCCGCAGAGTCACCTTGCATCATCTTTAACACGCTGGAGAGATATTTGCGTGGAGGTGTCCATGCAACCGAAAGCTCTTCCAATGTCTGAAGGCAGGATTTGATCCTTGCATCATCAGACGGATTACATCGAGCCCCGGGTTGATTTGCACCCCGGGAATTGAACAGCGCCAACGCCGCAGAGAGGTTGGCATGCGTTGCCGTAATTGGGCTTCTCCGAAAACTACCAAATACTTTGCGATATTGATCCCCCAGAGACGATATGCTCCTTGCAGCCTCGAGGAGAACATCTTGTGCCTTTATAACTAGAGCATCAGGCTCCAAGCTCGCGGGATCTTCAAACGCTCGACTCTGCACATAGGGCCGTGCGAGAAGGATAATGGCCGTGTGGTACACCATACACAGAGTGTACGCTTGGGGGAACTGATTTGGTACTCCGCCGTGAAGAGGCTTCAGATCTGTACACAGGCCGTATAGCCAGTGCTTTAACCAAAGGAGGCACGAGTCGAAGAAACTCCTTCGCTGGCCGGCAAACGACAGCTTCCTAGGAGAATACCTGCGAAGCTGTTACACACAGATTGGCAATGTCGGGCGGCATATGTGCGGACTTACAGGTTCAACAAGATTTTTTCAAGAATCTGACACAATTTGATCAAGTCTGTATGAAGCGAGACGAGAAGTCTTGGGTCGACAGAATACAACGCATGCCGACGATTGTCCCGCCCAGTGTGGGTTGGCATCGTCGGCACCCCGACCGCACCCTGCAAGTCCTTCATATAACGGTCAGTCTTGTGGTATCAAGGCAAGAGTCTGTCTCGTCTTACAAGCATGCTACAGACACGTCCTGTGTAGGCAGCCGCCAGCTTGTCCACGCAATACAACGACCAGTAGACTTGCCTCCGGAGTTGGGCCTCTTCTGCCGTCATGCGGCCCGAAGCAACCAACGACCCTGGGTCAAGATTAAGTCCCATGTCTAAAACGAGCCGATTTGCCATGCCTGAATGCAGCCACCCCGCAGCATCTTGTCCGAAAGCCTGCCAGAGTTAGAAAAAGTCGATGCCTGCGTGACTTTGAACCAACATGGTAGACGGTGCCCAACACGGCCAGTGACTGAATACTTGTGATAGTCGGCCGCTTCAGGTCGAAATGGAGAAGGACTTCGGCCGTCTCGAGGAAGATGCGACCCGCTGTATTGGGGTCGTTGGGATCAGAGCGAACCTCTACACGGTCCGAGAAGCGGGAACCACTGGCAAGGATGCAGTTCAACAACAGAGGTGTAAAGTATCGCCCATTGTTCTCTCTGCTTTCGCGAAACAAGGCCTCATCAACAACCTGCAACCATGGCTGTTCCCAGATGAAATATTGTTCTAGGAGGTGTGCTTCAAGCTCTCCATTGACGCTGCTTTGATGACCCAAAATCTGGACCTCTGCACATGTTGGCGAGTACTCTGTGGGCAAGTCCCGAGGCACGTCTTGGGGCAGAATTAGTGACGTTTGCCGAGTGCTCCGAATAGCAAAAACGAGACCCTACCATTGAGCGGCTTGAAGTCAAGTCGACCGCTGGCCGGGCCGAAATAACGTGCCTCTCCGTCCTGGTCAAAGTTTTGCGACTCATCAAGCGTCAATGTACCTTCAAACGTGTCGCAGAGCTCGTCCAAGGCGGCAGTTGAGCCACTGGCCGTCAAGGAGGCGATGGTGGCCGGCACAAGATTCTGCTGTATCAGCTGAGCCGTAGACGCGTGGATATCGATCGAGTGCAGCCACAGGATCTTTTCCAGGAGAGCAATCCGACCCTGCAGGAGACGCACATAGGACTTTTGGGCGGTTCCACGGCCGTCATCCCCGGTGTTGTAGACACATGGTATTTGACGGGCATTGCATCGGGAGCAAGTTGGCTTTGTGCCATCACACTGGGTTGCAGTTAGATGGGGAAAAAAACCCAGACACATGTACGAAGGCGGGTGAAGTGATGCAAACCCAGCCCACCTTTGCACGACGCCGGCGGCACTCCTGACAAGCCCTGGGCACATACTTGGTCCGTAGACCAGTCTTGCCAGCGCCGGGGGATGAATTCCGCTTGGTGTTTGATGAAGGTGTTTCCGAGCTGCCGCCCTGGGTAGGAGGCGCCGGAGACGCCGGACCAGCCATATTGACGTGGTGAATGCAAGGCGGTTGCGATCAAGCCAGAGAACGAAGCATCAAGGTATTATCTGGTCGGGCCCATGGAAAGCGAGTAAGAAATTGTGTATCCAAGAACAGACCGGTCGTCACTTAGACGCGATGACTTGAGTCGCCAGGCGGTTCTTGTCATGACTTCCCGCGTGCGCTCCGACTATTATTCCGGCACGAGCCACCGCGGGGTGGCTGATGCAGCCGGCGCCTTCCTTTGGGGAAAACGGCGTAGACCTCCGTTAGGGTTAGGGTTCAGTGTTAGCAATTACACACGCACGCTTCATTCCATCAAAAGCGAATTCAAGTGCCTGGCCTGTTTTCGTCGCCATTTCATTTCTGGACTGCGGCTGCCTCCTGCGCGTTTATTCCATTGACATTATGCTGACAGAGTATGCCTTGAGGCTGCTTACAAAGCTCGGATGATGACGAGTCTGGGAAGTTTATCCCTGTCTACATGACTCACTCCGCTATGCGATATCTGTACGTGAGATATATTAGAGGGGTAACCTTGTTGTAATCGCGAATAAAATCGGAGTGCTATTGCTCCTTACGATAATTAATAACCCTCAATACAGATTAATGAAGTGGGGTTTTATTAATATAGAGGTCCCTGTTTATAACCCCATAAACTTCCTTGTCAGGTCACTCGTGGCTCAAATTACAGGGGCTCTATCATATTGTCCGAGTCATCTACTGACAAAGTGGAAGACCTGTACCCGGCAGCTTGATCCCACAGCACTAGACTTGGATCCCCAGCCTGCACTCCATACGCTTGAAATAAATGACAGCGGCATCATAACGGAAATGGCCCAATGTCAAAGGTTACATAAGGGCTACGGTCACGAGACCTAGGGCAAAGTCCCTCCCCGACTTGTTGTATTTATAGACGCCTTTGGTCCCTCAAGGCCTTGAGGAAAACCAAGGACCTTTGATACCAAAGTTGACTGTTATTAGATGAATTGAGCTATTGCTCCAGGCCCTTGTCACATGTATTGACCTGACGTAGGTGCCATTGGAGGAGCTAGAGATTCGCCTTTGAGGTCGACCGTGGGATGTACAATACAACCCCTGAATTATTATTGCCAACCGAATACTTGAGCCCGCTACTACCGCTCCAACATGTGCCTTATCCTTGCCGTGTTCAAGCTGATAAGCGGGCACAAGGTGGATGGACGAGGTATTAAGCGTTTAAGGAACTTGTTACTATATGAAACTTGCGCATATTTTAAAATACCTACAAGTAACCCAACATCCTTGCTGGATTAAAAAGTCAGCATTTAATTGGCCCTGCTCACCCCTGCCGGGTGGCCTTTTGACAATAATTGAGGGGTTGTATTGTTGTACTCGGGATATAAGGCGGGACGTAAATACCATTACGCGTCATGATGCCGGCTTTTACATGGACATGAACCCCATCACGCCCTAACGTCGTCAATTGTCTTCAAATTCCCGCTGTACATTCAGACATTCATGCCGAGATGGAAAAATATAAAAGACGATAAAAACCCATCTCTCACACCCAGTTGAGAAATCGCCCGCAATACTATTCCTTTCCCACAAAATATACAATGTTTCCCTTCAAGGCGACTCTCACGGCTGCGGCTACAATATTGGCCTTTCAAACTGCCGTTGCAGTGCCCGTCGCCGGCGGCGTTGATGCCGGAATTTGGGAGTTTCCTGAAGCCGTTGGCTTTGCACCCAGTTGCGGCGGCACGCTCCTCAACGCAAACACGGTTCTTACAGCCGCTCACTGTGTCATTTCATCAATAGCCTACTATAAAGGGACAGATCTTTCAAAATCTTCAGTTATAGCAGGCACTATTGTAAGTCTTTTTTCCCTAATATATACATGTATTGTATATTCGTTATAAAACCAAGTACACACAAAGAGTTGCAACTTGAGCGGGCGACAGCTCTAGGTCCTTCCATCTCCGTCTCCCTGGGTAAATCTAGTTCTAATCAAGATATTTAGTTTCCAAAAGACTTACAATACGCCACTATTGTTGGTATATCCTCCTTTCACGTGCACCCCGAGTATAATAGGACGGGTATCCGTGAGCACGACGTTGCTATTTTGAAGTTGTCCACCGACATTGCCGAGGACGAATGGGGGACTATTCGTTATGCCCGGTTGCCTCAGTGGCAGTCCGATCCTCAGCCGGGCTCTGACACGACTGTAGTCGGTTGGTACGTATCTCCAAAGAAAACCAAAACTTTTGGTCTACTCCCAAGGTGTAATGGGGATTCTGATGTTTCAATACAGGGGCAGCACAGACACCAAGGGTACCAAGCCTACGCAGTTGCAAAAAGTTGTGGTTCCGGTTGTGGATCGTGGCACGTGCAGCAAGATGCTTGGTCGTGTGCCAGAGAGTACATTTTGTGCTGGTTACAAGGACGGAGGCAAGGATGCTTGTGGCGGAGATAGCGGCGGCCCAACTTATGGTCCAGATGGGACTGTCATCGGGGTTACTTCGTATGGCGGGAAATGTGGCGCTACGTACGGAGCTTATGCTAGAGTAGACATAGATCTCGCCTTTATCACGCGGTATATGTAGATCTTTACAATCCTGGATGAAACAGGATCGAAAGGCGTGGGTCATTTGGGTTGCCGAGTTGGATAATTGGCCTCTAGGTGTCCGTGGCGATGATTCTGGTACATATGTAGAATAGGCATGAGTCAAAACACGAATTTCTGTGCAAGTTTAACCCTGACCGATGACACCGAAATCAAGTCCTTGCCATAGAGGTACGCAAAGCGCTGAGCCGGGCGGGTCAAATTTACATGTAAGTCAAAGTTGAATTCGGGCCTTTTAAAGCCGCTAGCATCATTTCCTAGAGCTTCTTTATCGTTTCCCTCTGGAGGCCCCCCGGAGCCCGCTAGCATCATTTCCTAGAGCTCAAGTGCTTCTTTATCGTTCCCTCCGGAGATCCCCCAGAGGCCGGCAGCAGCGCGCGCGATGTGCTATTAATGGTGTTTACATGAGGCGCGGTGACATTCTGGAAGATGCCTATAGCTTTTATCACCAAAACAGCAGGATCACCATGAGATGAGATCCTAAGGATACATGTATGTACTGGCATTAAAATTGAAGCTAATCGGTGGCAATAATTTAAGGTTGTTTAGACCAATCGTCGACGAAGGTTAAGTTTAAACTACAAGAGGCTTGTGATTGTGGCGGCGCAGCACTCTCCTTGAACAAGTAAAGCTAGAACGCACCGTCTTTTTTTCCCGCGCTTTTCTTAATGAAGATTTCAATGGCGCAAGAGTCATGGTTGAAGAGCCAAGTACATGTCCGGCTTACTTGGCCAACAGAGCGAGTTGGCTATATAAATGCTGCTGCTTTACCCGTTTCTTGCCGACTTGACTCTGCCAGTTTTACTCTCACCTCCTACCATCGTCCACGGCGTCTTCACAGCCTACAGTCCCAATGAGTGCCCTCTTTGAAAGCCATCAAGCCGACGCGGTTTTGCGCGTTGCCGCCTACAATCGCCTAGACTTCAAATTCGCTCTCATCGGATCGCCGTCAAGCGAGCATAAACCTATCCGTACTTCCATCGTCGAGGCTTTTCCTTCGAGCGCCACTGCCAAAATCGGCCTTCTTGAACGCCTTCCCACGGAACTTGTCTGGAAGGTCTGCGCCGCATTGGACGTACGTTCCTGCTTCAGACTTCGCCAGACGAACCGACGCGCCCGTCAATATGTTTCCGGCATGCACGAGTATCGCACGGTGGCCCGGCACGCGTTGGAAAGTCTTTGGGCCGTGCTCCGGACGGGCATTTCTCCCCATGTCACGATATCGGCCCTTTATCAGGCGCTTTGCACGCGCGGCTGCCAAATCTGCGGTGCTGAATTTGGCGGCTTCTTGTTCCTCCTCACCGTCACCCGCTGCTGCTTCAACTGCATCGAATTATCGAGCCGTCTGGGCGTCGTCTCGCTCGCTGACGTCGCCGAGGGAGCCGGCGTCTCTCGCCACACGTTGCAACGTCGCTTGCCCGTCTTGCGCACGCTGCCCGGAACATACACAATGGAGCGAAACACTTGGAAGCGGAGAATATCGGCAGTGTCATGCGACCAGGCTGCTGACGCTTTGACTATGCTTGGTGTTTCTCGCGACACCGCAGCATCCGTTTTGTCTGGTATCGGCGAGATGCGTATGGGGAGGTACATGGCCTCGACGCCGTTGCCACTATTCCATCGGGCAACAGCACAGGTGGAACACGGTGTCTGTTGCAAAGGCTGTCGAATCGCTCTCGAAGACAAACTCTACGGTCAAATGGTTGTCCAAGGACTCGACGATGAGTCTGTAGATTTGTGGAACCGCAGTGACCAGCTTTATTCTAGACAAGGGTATTTGAACCATTTCCCAACATGCCCGCAGTCCATCAACCTCTGGAGAAGCAGTCAAGGGGGAACTGTCGCCGTCGATGAGCCAGAGTTTACACGGAGACGCGGTTACATGGAGACGTGGTTACATGGCCCATCTATGTACATGACGGAACCACACGACAATCCGTATAGCGCTACGTACACAACAATGGATTTAGGGGGCCCTGAAATAGCAATATCTCATTTTATACGCCAGTAGAACCAGGCTGAATCTCCGGATCCAGAATACGACCAATAAAACAACCAAAGCGGGGTTGGAAACCAGCTTGAGTTATCCCAGGCCGGCCAACAGCATCACCACCACGTCAACGTCTCCAACTACATGAGCATATTGAGTCCGTGTACTGCCTGTGCTTTCCCTTTTTTTCCATTTTGCTCGTATTTCACGCAAAAAGAAGCAGCAACCAACATTTCCTCCCATCGTCTTTTCCATCCCTTCGTGTCCGTCCTCGCATCCAACAAGCACCAGCCCACAATGGCGTTTCGCATGCTTTCCATGGATTTTGACACACTCGGCACATCCAACAGCTACTTTCGCATCTTGGCGAACACTCTCGTCAAATATGTCGTCATTGCCCCCGGAGCCATGGATGCCTCGTCCCTAGACGACATGCCCCTGAACTTTGTGAATATCCTCCCACCCCTGCCATACGACGATGATGGTTGGACAACGGCATATATATCTCGCGACTACTCCAGCGGCGAGCTGGTCACGTCGTTGTCGGCCTCGCAGCTCAACGGCGTCACGGACCTTTGGCATCCCAACACCATTGACTTTCGCCAACTACAGCTTCTGAAACCTCTCACAGCCCTGGTCGACGAGTGCGAATGGGCCACTCTGGAACCGAATCCCCACGGGCAAAATACGACCATGATTGCCAAGATGGCCCGGTTTAGCTGGGAAGTCGCCTACATTGAGCGCGAAACAAAAATATACGCCCTTCTCGAAGGTACCGGGATCGCGCCTCGCTTCTTCGGACACATCCACGAACAGGGGCGCACCATGGGCTTTTTGCTGGAGAAAGTGGCCGGACGACATGCCGGCGTCGACGACTTGTCGATTTGTGCCGCGGCTCTTGGGCGCCTGCATGCGCTGGGTATATCCCACGGAGACTGTAACCGGTACAACTTTATAGTTGGCGTCGACGACAAGGTCACGCTGATTGACTTTGAGCATTGCATAGTTGGCGCGAGCAGAGAGGCCATGCAGGCTGACATGGATTCGCTCCCCGATCAGCTCACGGAAGAAAGTGGCCGGGGCGGCGGCTTCAGGACAGTGTTGGACGACGAGGTGTGAGCTGAGCTTTCTCGTGAGGGGGCTCGGATGGGTCGAATTGTTCGCACGGGGACGGCTACAATAGTATATGTCGTTGGCTGGGTCAAGATGGTAGCTTATTCTATTGAACGAGGACTATAACTATCAACTTGTTTTGGGTGTAGACGTGTGAAGCCGTGCCTTGTTCACCCATCTCGACCTCTCTCCATCGCTGCACTTTCCAAGGTTATGCGCAACGAAATTAGAATGGGGTCTACGGAGATTCCGACATATTTTTACCGTAAAGGGCCGCGTGCTGCTTGTTCCATAAAGTCATCCGCTGGTCCCAGGGATACTCCGACTATGCCAAGGTAAACTCTCGATGAACCCGCCAGCATTGACTAGGCTGCTGGAGGATTCGCAAGGGTGTCGCAGTGTGGCATCTAGTTGTAAACTTACGGCTGCTATTGGTGTACATATTACGACCTAAAAGAGATATTTCATGTATTGTGTGTGCTTGTTTCTTCTTGCTAGCTAATACAAGCCAAAACGCTCTGTAAAGGGGGTTCAAGCCCGGCGTGCTAACTGCGAACAGCTTCCATGTACTGCCCAATCATCCCATTTCGGGCGTAGCAGATCCGAAATTCAGTGCTCATCTACAGTATGCGTACGGTTTGAGCACGAAAATGTCGTTGTGGCGGTCGATATTCACCAATTCGTGAATCACGTGTGCAACACAAACGACCACTCATAAACAGATTCGGATGAAAAGCTCCGTCTAAATATACGGACTGGAACTCTAGAGTCATGGATAATTTCGAGGTGACTGACTGATTCCTTAATCGCAAGGCCTGATGCATGGCAATGAAGCTATTATAGAATATGCAGAATTGGATACTACTTGGCACTTACAGATGGAGTATAGTAGCTAGCAAGGAGCTGCATATTGAGTCATTCAAAGAACAATCTGATCTAATCTTCCTAGTCCATATCATCTCCTGAATCTGTAGTCAACTCCAAGATGGAGCTGAGTGTTTTCTTACCAGCTTCCGATAATTCCGATTCATTAACATGAGCTCCACGCTTGAGCAGAAACTTGACAACGGCCGTGTGCCCTTTTTCAGCAGCCTTTGAAAGCGGTGTCAGACCGTGTTTCCCCCTCGCATTAATATCAACACCATTTTTGACAAGCAACTTGACGACGGCTCCCTTTCCCATCCAAGCGGCATTCAGCAACGGCGTATTACCCCACACATCCATAGCCTCAGTATCAGCACCTTTTTCGAGAAGTAGCTTGACGGCAGCCTTGTGTCCATGAGCAGCGGCAGCATTTAACGGCGTACGCTGGACATAATCCTTAGCCTCAATATCAACACCTTTTTCGAGAAGCAGCTTAAGTACAGCCGTGCCTCTTCTGATAGCGGCAGAATGTAGCGGCGTAGTACCCAAATCATCCTTAGCCTGAATATCAGCACCTTTTTCGATAAGTAGCTTGGCGATAGCTTCTTGTCCAAATATGATTGCTTCAAGTAACGGCGTCTGACCATCATTATCCTTGACCGCAACATGGGCGCCGTTTTCAAGCAGCAGCTCTACGATATTCTGACGACCACTTCGTATGGCATATAAAAGTGACGTCCTTCGGAACTGGTCCCTGGCTTCTATATCTACACCATACTCGAGTAGACGCTTGATGACAGCCTCGTCCCCCCTTTGTGCAGCCATTGACAGTGGTGATGGCTTCAGCAGAACAGATCCTTGATCTTTAAGGAAATCCGACCCTATTATTAGCTCGTATGGGACCGGGTTTTGATTCAACACGTAGAAATTGTCTCTGAGATGATCCGAGCTGCCGTCTCTAGAAAAATGAATCCATGATTTGTATTCGACCCAATTCTCGGTTCCCTTAAAATATCTCATCGTCGGTGCCGGGACATATGTCTGCTCGATAGGGATTTTGAGCTTGTCAACCAAGGCCTTCGACACGAAGTTGTTTCTGACACTGATGTCAATAAGGGCTTCCACTTTTTCCGGCGGTTCAGTTAGAATTCTGAGCTGCACCACATGATCATGCACCTCTGGGTCTGTTTGCGGTGGTGGTTGTTCTCCTATACGATTCTTTTTCAGTTTTGCCGCAGTCGCCTTCGTTTTCTGAACCACATCTTCGAAGCCCATATATTGGATAGCTAGACCCTGCAGCTGGGACATCTTCTCCCAGGCGTCAAGCCTCACTCTAGCCTTCTCACTCTCCACGTTGAAACGAAAGTAGACTTGGCCATCGGTCTCGCCGTTGGCATTGATAAAGGTCGTAACCAAGTCTCTCGTTTCTTTATGCACATGCTCGGTCCTCGTCATCTTTTGCAGACTGTAGAACGCCAGTTGTAGCCGGAAGTAAAAGAAGTGAGAGAGAAATTTCTGGGATAGCCACATGATCCTCGGCCCCAATATCTGTTCTGTAGCCTGGTCCAAGGTAAATTTTGGTTCAGGCCCTGTACCAAGGCTAACGATGCAACCTATATTGCCGTAACCCCAGATTTTACCTGCCTCTCTGACGGCAATGCTGCATGGGTTGTTGGCAACTGTGCCACCATCGCTGTAGCTGTCTTTCTTGTTCGTCTCGGACTTGAGCTTGCGCGACGCCTTTGCGATTACGCCAGAGGTATTGCTGCTTTCCCCCCTTTGCTCGATTTCAATTGGTTTGAAGAATGTCGGGGCGGCAGAGGTCGCTCTTCCGGCTTCCCATATCTTGCCGTGAAACGCATATGCAGGCTGCAAAGCTTGGAGATCATAGGATCTAAGGATGGCGGCATCGTCCTCGTCTTCATCTGCATGCTTATTGAGATGTGCGGAAACAACAAAGGTCCTGCAACGGCAATTCTCGTCTTTCATCATTGCATTTTCGTCACCGAGATGCGACTCATGAATAACCTTTTTGAGACATTTCTCGAGAATGCTGTGGTCGTATTTGGACGAGTTGAAACATCGCCGCTTCTTCTTGAAGATCTCTTCACCAAAATTCATATATTGTTCAATAGCCTCATCGACAGTCTTTATTCCAAGACAAAATGAATCTTGTCAGTGGCTCTCGGTCAAGGAAAAGTACAAGAATAGAAGACTCACGTATTCCAGCCTGCCGAGCATCAGAGCAATCAAACCGCCAGTGCTTGTCCCACATATCAAGTCGAAATATTCACAAGGCTTCAGGGGCGTTGTTGACCTCGATCCGGTTTTGTCGTTGTTCGCCCCGCCGTCCATTTTTTCGTCGCCGCAGTCTGCCGTATCCCTCTCCTCCTGGGTGCGAATTTCGGTCATGATAATCTTGAGCATTAATAACGATGTGATTCCCCTGACTCCGCCTCCATCTAGACAAAGAATACGAGCCTTTCTGCTCTCCATGACTGCAAACACCGTCTGATAGAGGTTTCTGATGTCGGGATTGTAGAGTGAAAAAGGGGCTTGACTCCCTAGCACCTAGATGGAGAGCCGCCATCAGCTTGGGCACCCAAGTAGCACAACATTAAAGGTAACACAAGGGAAGTTGGGCAGCAATCTGCTCCGTATGAAGCAGGTCGGGTGAGATTCTACCCTATTTTTATTACAAGCAAGCATCTGTGTAGCCTTGTATATTACCCCACGAATGGACATTGCGCTTACGGGCCAGAATGTGAGACAACTCTGTATGACCACCTGGATACCTACTTAAGTAGGTAGCGTCAAGTGACTTCCGACAGCAAAAGGCTACTACGTACTCTGTCTGGTACAGTTCAAGCCTTTCTACGCCGACACAATGCAGCTTTGCGGACTATGCCATCGACAATACATGTTAACTGGTATTTGGCAGTCTCCTCCCGAGATAGCCTCGGTATAATAAGCCTAGAAGAGTTGAATAAATGGCACTCTGAATATGTACTAGCGACATCACGGTTTGTCACACAGGTAACACAACACCACGGCCCGGACCGGCCCTTGAACCAGACGATAGTTACACAAGGAGGATGACCACAAGGTACAGTCTGACGAATGATGCCCTCGCTTCACTTTAGATAGGACGGCGGCTCTTTTGCTGTCAACCGTCATTTGACCACCATGTTCGCCGCAAGACGGTTCATCATTGGCCGCTGACTACGCAGGTGTTACACGGAGGTCAGGTTGTAATGAGGCCACGGGCCGACCCTCGAACCTGACGATGATTACACAACGGCTCGAGACCTAGTCAAGGCTACCTGTCAGTGCTGCGACAGCGGCATGCTGACAGTATCTGGCTTGTAGTAGAGGGCATGTACGCTATAAGACGACCTATTAATTACTCATTGTCTTTTCTCCCGGCTTCCACACTTAATATTTTCCATAATTAGAGCACACTGCCACACGGGCTCGACGCCGGCGGAATAGGGATGAGCTCTTTCCTTCTCAGCAAGAACAGCCTCATACTTCTCTTTATACGCAGAAACAGCAGCCTAAAACATTATCAGAATTCGCACAGAATATGTAGAGGATCAGGACAACCTACTTGGAACCGATTTTTCCCGTCAAAAGACAGACTGTGGTTGTTACAAGGAAATGGCGTTGGTTACATAAGGGCTACGGTCACGGGATTAGGGCAGAAGGTCCTCACCAACTTCTTATCTAAATAGACGTCTTCGGTCCCTTAAGGCCTTAAGGAAAACCAAGGACCTTTGATACTAAAGACTGTTATTTGATGAATTGAGTAATTGCTCCAAGCTAGGCCCTTGTCACAGTGGTCGGTCCAGTGAATTCGCCAGAGTGTGACAAATAACTCTATTAACTGGATTGAGGCACGGAGTTTATTTGATATAGGAGGTTCTCGGTTCTCCGTATTTGTCTTCTTCCCTAAGACCGCTCAGGGACTGTTTTCGAAAACACGAGCCCCCAAAAATACGCCGTGTCACGAGCAGCAGAAACGTGTTACACGGAAAAGGCCCAACAGATCGTGAAGCCCAACAAAAGGAACTCACTGATACGGGACTTATTAGTTACACGGCTAGAACATATACCTGGGTAAGAGCTTTAAGCCTAGGCGTTCCTTTTATGTATATATAGCGGTTACCCTTCCCTTTATTCCTCTTAGCAACTCAAGACCTTAAAGACCCTTCAAGATTATTATGGACTTGAGCCCTTTGCTCCAAGCCCTTAGTTAAGCCCTTGTCACAAAACGGCACTGGAAAGCTTTATCTGATTCTAAAATCCTGCTATACTATGCGGCTGTATCCGTACGAGTCAGCTATGACCGAATCCAGTTTGTAGACTGGAAGCATCCTCCGTGAATTGCTTGTCGCCCTACTGTGTACTGTTTAGTGCTGAGACTCCCCTTGTATATACCCAGGTATTTAGATACCAAAGTAAGTTGTAACAGAATATATTATAATATAACCCCTCATAACTGTGAGCGCACCTGGGAAAAAGGGCGAGCCCGCCGAGTAATTCACGATCCTCCAGCCGTGGGGTATTAAGACATTTTATCGTATCATCCTGTAGGCCTCGCCGTAGGACCATGTACTAGGTCGGGACTCGGGAGCCATGCATAATCCTGTACTGGTCAACGACCAAGGGGACAAGCTTCTTACTTAAGTAGTTGCCAACGGGTATTGCATTGGCAGATACGGGGATATGCATCAACCATCACACGCCAACCACGCCATGCTGCAGAACTATGCTCACCGGACTAGGAATGAGAACTTCATCTGATCATGTCTTCTAATCTCTATGGAACAACTCTATTTCACCAGTCTCTACACCCCACAACGCCTACGCTTACTCGACTGCTAACCACGCCGTCTCCATGCTCCGTCTAATTTGAACAGTGTTCCAGCCCCTATTCTCGCTTCCCAGAAACTAAATGCGACTCCTCTAGTCCCAGTGTATCACTGGCTTGACCACCTAGTACAGTCCAGTTAGCGAACCGACGGCGGCCAGGGTCCATGTTCTCATGATTCACTCACCTTGCCTTCGCGCAAGTCACTCATTGCCGTTTCGAAATCTTTAACAGAGTAGACCTTGCACAATTTCTCAACAGGGAAATGCCCTTGCTGATGAAGCTCCATCAACTGCGGGATGAACTACATGCGCAGGGGCGGTTAGAAGGCAAAATCCACACAAGACTTGTAGTGCACAAAACCAACCTTTTGGGGGTGGGAACCCCCTTCCAGCACACCAATGTAGCTCTTGTTCTCCATCAAAAAGGTCTGGGGCTCAATTCTGACGATGCTATCTGGAGGCGGCACCCCAACAGTGGTTGCAGTCCCCCTTGGAGCCAGACATCCAAACAACGATTCAATAACGGGGATGCGCCCGGTGCAATCAATGGCATAGTCGGCACCGCCATCGGTGATGCGCCGGATGGCGGCTTCCACGCCCTCGTCTGCGTGTTTAGTCGGGTTGACGACATGCGTGGCGCCGAATTCCTTGGCAAAGTCGAGCTTCTCATCAACCACGTCGACGGCGATGAGTTGCCGGACCTGGAGGTAGGCGGCGGCCATCAAGGCGGCAATTCCAACGCTCCCCACGCCAAAGATGACGACAGACTTGGTCTTGTCTGGCTTCAGGACGTTGAGCAGGGTGCCGGCGCCGGTCTGGAACCCGCAGCCCAGGGGCGCGTAGTAGGAGAGCGACTCGGGATAAGGGCACTTGACGACGCACCTCTCGGCGACGACGGACATGCGCGCAAAGGAGGACTGGCCGAAACACTGGCTGCTCACGGGGGTTCCGTCGGCGAGCCTGGCCGGCGTGGAGCCGTCCGACACGCGGACCGAGCCCGCGTTGACCGGGGAGTGGATGTGGCAGCAGGACGGGTTGTCGGCAAGACACTGCTTGCACTTGCCGCAGACATTAAAGGACAAAAGCACGTGGTCTCCGACCTGCAGGGACTTATCCTTGACGTTGCTGCCAAGCGCTCTGATGATGCCGGCGCCCTCGTGGCCAAAGATGGCGGGATACTTGGGGCCGGGAATCTTGGCATTCTGGAACAGGACATCCTAGTGGACATTAGATGAAGGGTTCTTGTAAAAAAGGGAGAATCAGCATGTATATGTCCGCACCGTATGGCAGATGCCCGAGTACTTCATTTCCACGAGGACCTCGTCGGCGCGGACCTCGTCGAGGATGACGGGCCGCATGACAAAGTCAGCCCCCGGCTTATCAACAACCAGACCCTCGGTGTGGATATTTGTAGTGGCGGCCATGGCGGAAGATGATGGAGCAAAGGAAAACAATGTTGTTTTTGTTGTTGTGGTATAGTCGCAAGTCCAGACAGGCCAAAGGGGGTAGGTGATGCGGACTTAAGAAGGATCAAGACATGTCGCGGTGGAGCAAGTGAAGATGCAAGAGATGGATTTCAAATGCTGCCCCTTGGCATGATAGGCTCGGAACAGATTCCGCCGCCGGCATTGGAGCAGCATTCTGCGACGGCGTGTCGGGCGTCGGGTGGGATTCTTCAAGTGGGGGGTTGAAACGAGGTTGGAACTTGGAGGGGTTGAGGCAATGAGGCGTCGACGTTGGAGACGCGAGATCAATTGATCCCTGGATCGCACGGGACCCCGGGAAAACCTGGGGTAACCGTCTGGACTCTGGTACGTACCCCAGCATGGCTGCGCCGTGGCATCGACTCAACCCGTCTTTGCCATGACATGGCGTCTTTCGTTGGCTATCGCCGCCCAATCACGACTTGATCCCTCTCCAGGGACGGCGAGCCAACAAAACCTTCTCGCCCAGAGTCGGAAACGGCTGGCAGGATTCCGAGACAGGTCTGAGATGTCCCGGATGGTGCTGCCTGTGCCGAAAATGCGACGCTTCCAATGCGACGCTTCCAATACGACGCCTCGCCGCGTGCAACGTCTCGGCATCCCACTTTGATCTTGATGGACACGCTTCGTCTATCGCCAACCGCTGGCTGTCGTCCCGTCATAAAGCTGCTATTATAAAGGATAGAGGGGGGGAGGCGTGCGTTGGCTCCTTCGAACACACATGTCAACCTGGCTCCTTGAGCGTTTGCCTCTCTCCATCACCCGCAAGCAACTACTGCCCTGCTCACTGCCTCGTCGTCCGTCATCATCATGGCAACTAGTATGCAGCTAGAGGTTCGTCCAACTCGCCACCCGGGACGATCCCGGGAGACACGTCGCTAAACATCAAACGTCGGTAGGAGTTGCCGGGCACGCCGCGCGACGACCTCCGCATTGACATCATCCCGGGCACCGAGATCATGGCCGACATTGGAAAGCACCACTTTGTCAAGAGCAACGACAGCAGTCACCGCGTCCTCGTTCCACAGCCCAGCGAGAGCCCCAACGACCCGCTCAACTGGTCCTGGCTCTGGAAGGCCTCGACTTTGTTTGCCGTGTCGACCATGACCTTTGCCCAGGGCTTCGCGCCTTTATCCCTGGCTCCCATGTTTGGGTACTTGATGGAGGACTATAACAGGTCTCTGGCCGATGTTATCCAGTTCACCAGCATTACTATTCTTGTCCTGGGCTTTAGCAACTTTTTCTGGTCAGCCCGCCGTCAACACATGCCACTCTCTCTTCATGCCAAAGCCTAACCTCGAAACATCAGGATCCCGATATCCACGTCCTTTGGGAGGCGCCCCGTCCTGATCTTGTCCCAAGTCGTGTGCCTTGCTTCTCATATCTGGCGGGCCAAGGCGTCCAGCTACAACGAGTTCATGGGCGCAGCCATGTGAGCCGCAACTCCCATTTTCCCCGCCGAAGCAAGAAAGAAGCTAAAAACACACCAGTCTCAGCGGCTTTGGCGCCGGCCCAGGCGAGACCATCCAGCCCACCATCATTGCCGACGTCTTCTTCCTCCACGACCGCGGGAAGTGGAACACGTTGTACTGGGTTACATATACGGGAGCCTTGATGGTGAACCCCCGATTCTGGACAAGCAAAACTTGTACACCAAAAAAAAAACTAACAAATAGCTAGGTTGCGCCCGTCGTCGCAGGCGCCATGGCCGATCATAAAGGCTGGCCCTCCTTCTGGTGGCTCAACGCCGCCATCACCGCCTTCTCCCTCGTCGTCATCGTCTTCGGCTTCCCAGAAACCATGTTCTCCCGCGCAGAAAACGCCGCCGGCCCGCCCGAAACCGGCCCCGGTGCGCCGTCCAAGGCCTCCGAGCCCAAACACCAAGAGCTGTCCGGCCAGCCAGACGGCCAGCCAGACGGCCTCACCGCGCAGGACCCCTGGCTCGGCAAAGGCGGCCCCAGCCGACAGCAATGGCTGCTCATGCAGCTGGATTCGTGGTCGCTCCGGTCCCTCCTTCTGAGCGTCTACATGCCCCTGAAGCTCTTCACCTTCCCCATCGTGCTGTTCGTCTCCTTTGTCGTCAGCTGGAGCCTCAGCTGCGTGCTCATCCTGAACCTCACGCAGTCGCAGGTCTTTGCGGCGCCCCCCTATAATCTGAGCTCGCAGTCGGTCGGTAAGTGACACCAACCAACAGACAAGCAAGAACCCTCCATGTCCCCTCGACTAACTCGGCTAGGGCTCACCAACTTTGCCATGGTGGTCGGCGGGCTGATTGGCCTCGCGACCGCCGGCCCCTTTAGCGACTGGGTTTCGGCGCGGGCGACGGCGCGCAACAACGGCATCCGCGAGCCCGAGATGCGGCTGCCCGCGCTGATCCCGTACGTGCTCATCATGGCGCTCGGCCAGATCATCACCGGCGTCGGGTACCAGAATAAGTGGCCGTGGCCTGTTATTGTTGTCCTGGGGTATACCTGCTCGGGGATCCAGATGGCCGGCCTGCCCAGCATCAGCAGCACCTATGGCGTTGACAGCTATAAACCTGCCGCGGGGTCGCTGTTTGTCGCTATTACCGTGAACAAGAACCTCTGGGGCTATGGCATGGGCAAGTTCATCACCGAGTGGACCGAGGCGAATGGGTACGTTGCTCCTATGGTCCTACTGCTCCTGCTTGGCTGTTGTTTGCTAATCGCCGTGGCAGGTTTATCCCCGTCTTCATGGTCAACATGGCCCTCACCACGGTCTGGTGTCTCTTTGGGGTGGTCTTTTATTTCTACGGCAAGACCTTTAGGCGCTGGTCCAGGAATAGTAACGTGCATAGTCTGGAGATTTAGTGCATGGGCGCTCGGGAACCCGGTTACTTGGACTGTTGCTGCGGTGCTTGCTCTCTATTGGGCTTTGTATTCATGTGTAGATATTGCGTGGATGCGTATGTATTGGTATTTTGTGTCAAACTCACGGATCATAAAAAGAAAAAAGAAAAATTGTGTATACCGTGAACCCCCAGTCAGTCATTACACCATAATGCCAAAGCCATGATGCAAAATGCTACATTTGTGAGTTCATGTTGGGACAGAAAATTACGTTGAGGCATGTCCTGGCAGGCATCTGGTTGATTGGCGCGGAATCTGCAGGGCAAGAGCACAGGAGGCTCCTACCAAATCGGGCGCTGAGCCTCCAGTCGAGACCACAAGAATTCTGGAGCCACAACGACATCTCAACTTTGACAATCCGCCCTCAACTCCAACAAACAGCCTGTGCCCAGCTCGCGGGCCAAAAAAATGTCTTCCAGCATCACGGAGGTCAACGGCGTCCGGGTAGCCGTCGAAGGATGCGTACGTGTCTTTTGCCAATGTCCACACAGCCTATACGCTCTCTCGCTAACCAGCCCAGGGACATGGCACACTCAACGCCATCTACGCGGCCGTTGCTGAATCGTGCAAAGTTCGCGGTTGGCATGGCGTAGACCTGCTCATCATTGGCGGCGATTTCCAGGTAGGTGCAATGCAGTTTTTTCCCTCTCAATAGACTTGCCGCTCAATACTTGTAGTCCGTACGCAATGCCGCAGACCTCACCATCATGTCCTGCCCCGTCAAGTACCGCCATCTCGGCGATTTTCCCGACTACTACGCCGGCACACGTACTGCGCCCTATCTCACCATCTTCGTCGGCGGCAACCACGAAGCAAGTTCCCACCTCTGGGAACTCTTCTACGGAGGATGGGTAGCCCCCAACATTTATTACATGGGCGCCGCCAACGTTCTTCGCTTTGGCCCGCTTCGCATTGCAGCCATGTCTGGCATCTGGAAGGGCTTTGACTACAGGAAACCCCATCATGAGCGACTCCCCTTTAGTGGCGATGATGTCAAGTCATTCTACCATGTGAGGGAGCTCGATGTCCGGAAACTGCTTTTGCTGCAGACCCAGGTCGACATTGGTATTAGCCACGACTGGCCGCGCTACATTGAAAACCACGGGGACGCAGCCTGGCTGTTTCGCAAGAAGCCCGACTTCCGAAGAGAGTCGCAGAACGGCCAGCTGGGAAGCATTGCCGCCGAATATGTCATGGACCGGCTACGGCCTCCGTACTGGTTCTCAGCGCACATGCATATAAAATTCCCGGCTCTCAAAAAGTACACCGACGCCGCTCCAGTGGCACCGTCCGCAAATGTGAACGGAGACGAGGCCGCAGTGCCCGAGGGAGGAGCAAATCCCGATGAGATTGACTTGGACGTGGAGGATGACGAAAACAAGAGCACCGAAAAACCGGCCACGGGCGCAGAGGCTTCCGAGTCCAAGGCCACAAACCAGGTTTCTGCCGAACTGCGCGCCCAGCTACCTGCGTCATTCGCAAAGCCGCCGCCCAGGGACAATCGCACGCCTGGCCAGCCGGTCCCTCCAGGCATCAAAAACAGAGAGGTCCGTTTCTTAGCCTTGGACAAGTGCCTCCCAGGACGGCATTTCCTCCAACTATGCGACATTGCACCTTTCAACGCGGCCGATCTCGCAGCGTATCCCCCCAAATCGTCGGGTCCTCGTTACCAGCTGCAGTATGACCCCGAATGGCTCGCCATCACGCGTGTCTTCCACAGCACCCTCAGCATTGGTGACAAGACGGCCCGGCCACCTCCCGATCTAGGCGAGGAGCACTACCTGCCTCTCATCGAGGCCGAGCGTGCCTGGGTCGAAGAAAACGTGGTCGCCAAGGGCAGGCTTGACGTCCCTGAAAACTTTGAACTCACCGCTGCCCCCCATGTTCCTGGTTCTCCGGAGATTGTGGACGAGCAGCCCGAGGAGTATACAAACCCGCAGACGACGGCATTCTGCGACCTCCTCGGGCTGAAGCATCTCTGGAATGCCAGTGCAGAAGAGAGAAGAGCGAGGCGAGATCAAGGGCCGCCTCCGTCAGAATACCAAGGCCGCCGCGGGGGGGCTGGTGGCAGAGGAGGGCGAGGCGGCGGCAGAGGCGGCGGCAGAGGTCGAGGCGGACATCGTGGAGGCCATGGTCACCGGGGCAGGTGGTAAAGCAAGAGCAAAACTGTATTATTACGCGCGTGCAACTATAGAGTCCAATGTAATACCACTTCATCACGCTGGCTCAATGTCAACAGGCGACACATGGCCGCACCTCCCAGCCTCCCCATGCATCAGCCCATGTGGCATGATGTATAGCACGACCCACCAAATTCATATGTGTGGCCATCAGCACCCTCATGCCTCCTTGGCACAGCCAGCTCATTCAACCCAGCAACACCCAAATTTCGTCCCCTTCCCGCACCGACAGCGCCGCCATACCAAGAACTTGTCGTCGACCGTAACCATCTGCCTCCCACCATGTGCTAATCCAAACCCGCTACTCAGCCCGGAACACCCCCTCGCCATCCTGGAATTCATATTCAATATTCAACAACCCTTGCCCTCCCCCACGCCGGCGGGTAAGGAAAAGTCATTCGGCCCATCTGCAGTACCATTCACGTTTCGAACCAGCGAGAACTTGAAGTCGTGCCAATAATGGACTGTCCTGTCGTGGCGGCAAGCAGCAGCTCCCGCCGTCGTGGGACGTAATTGCCTCCATGTTCTCGAGCACAAGACCAAGCTCAGCACTCATAGGGTCATGAAGAGTGCTGCAGAACGTTGTGGTGTTCTCGGTGGACACGGGCATGTTCAAGTCTTGCAGAATCAAGCCGTCAACTTCGGACAGGATGACGAGGAGCATGAATACGCGGAATCGGCCGGCAAACTCGGCCGGGACATGTGAGCCGTAGGCTTCAGGGTCGAATTGGCTGCCGTGTGGCATGTCCATGCACAGAGTCCGCCATGGAACCTCTGGTAGATTGGAGTGAGGGCCGTGTCCTCCGTTGCCACGGAGTGACGGGGGCATCGAGAGCCAAGATTTGGAATTTTCTCGGATAGTCCGGTGCCGCGACGTCCTGACGCTCTGGAGACGGCGCCTCGTCGTGTGCCTTGGGCGTCGAGTTTTGCCGGGCCGCCATCTTTTGGGCGGTGTGTCTGCAATGTCCTTCGTCGGCGGAGAGTTGGCTCAGGATGCGGTTGATAGCGGGCAGGCTGGAGTCTGGGGACTCAGGACGGCAGGTTCACCATCCTCTCTGACGACGGATGTACACATGCTGACAGAGTCTGTAGGTTGCCTTGCTCGCGAATCATCTTCCTCGCTGCCCGCGTGAACACCGTTTCCGGAGATAAATGGTAATCGCTTGCCATCTGATTTCCGAAGACAGGTTCAAGACTCTGTAAAACGCGAATATCTTGTCCCTCGGGTCCGAGGCCGCAAAGGTCCGAAAGGTGTACACCATCTCTCGGGGCGTAAATAAGGCCCGCGATTCATGGGCGTTGGTATTATCCTTCCTGTTGGCATGGCACTTCGTCTGCCGCCGCTTGGATACCTCGGCCATGTTCCAGACTATAGGCACGGCAGCATCTTGCTCGGGCACAAATGCTGTGAAACTAGCTGTGCCAAGTTTTGCTTCATTTCTTCGGAGAGCGGCTGATACGTCGCCTAGGTGTGCCCATGAGAAGGCATCGGGGCCAGTGTACATGAATAGCACGCTAGGGAGAATGGCTTCCTGCACGATCCAGGCTCTGCTGAACCACTGACGTTGGTATATGCTGGCTAGGACTACCCGTTCTGGCCAGGATATATGGCACGCCGGATTGAAGTATGCATCTTTATCGAGGCCGCTACAGGGTTCGATTTGGCTGTCTTGGAACTGCGAGAGGTAGGAATGTACCGTGTTGAAAGTTTGGATTCCGAGATTTGAGCGAGAATCATGCGGGCCGAGCGATTACGTACGTGGCCGCAGAGTAGATTCGGTCCATCATGCTTACTTGGGCTGGCTTTTGTTCACTGTCGGCTTGATTTATTCAAATTGTGTCAGCCATGTGCCTGGATGGTCCGGTGTATCGACAACGTCATGGTGCCCGTTGGCGACGGCGAGATCAACGGGTTTGCAGCCGTCACTATTTTGAATCTGCTTCAAAGCGCCATATCGAAATACAGTGGAATTCGGGGCCACGGTCGATTGCATCTGATGCAGAATGAAATCTCTGTTTTGAATTCAGGGCCTGGATTCAGGACGTCTGCTTCGAGGCTACCCTGTACTTGACGGAGAAGGAACATTGAAATCTGAAACAGACCAAGGTGGTGGTGGGCCTGGGGGTGGGCCAGCGCTTGGGCAGCTGGGGCAGGCGGTCAGTCAACCACTGCCCCAAACGTTGGCAGTTGCGTGCAGTCCCTGGCAACCAGGCCCAATCAGGAAGCGTCGATGTAAACACTACGTCAACATCGCTGCCCTTGCGCATCCCAACACCATCTTTACGCTTCAACCATTGTTACCACATCTGCGTTGAGCGCCCCGAGGGACCAGACTACACGTACTCCTGGAGCAGACAGGTGAGAATTTGAACAAACCTTTAGAGGCCATGAAAAGAGGACAATGGCCAATCCGCCACTCTGTCTGTCTTTGCTAGCCCTTCATTGCCCCGCTAACGACTGGAATGCCAGTGCCAGGCCCGCAGCATTCTCCGACCATCGTCGACGACGCTGAACACCGCCACCATGGCTCAGTTCTTGACCACCGTGTTAGTCCTTCTTTCATACAAGCAGAAGCACCGTCGTGCAACATGACTGCAATGGCGAGCGCTGTTTTCCGTTACCTGAGCCCCAGTTCCATCGCCACCATGCTGTCGCTGGACAACACCATCATCTCCGTCCACGAGGATGATTCCGACTCCCCCACGATGCCCGCAGCCGAGCCTGTGATTGCTGACGCCAAGGCAACGAATAGTAACCAGCGGACTAAGAATCAGTTCCGTCCTCGCGTGGGCAAGGGCGGCGCCACCAGCTACCAGCTTCGACAGTATGCTGAAGTCACATTGGGGGGTGGTAGTTTGCGAAAAGTTGTCAAGCTGCCCGAAGGCGAGGACGAGAATGAGTGGCTGGCGGTAAACAGTGGGTTATCTCGATTCCGACAAGACTGGATTATTGTTTCCGTGCTGACTGTGGCAGTGGTGGATTTCTATAATCAGATCAACTTGCTCTACGGAGCCATCACCGAGTTTTGCTCGCCCCATTCCTGCCCCGAGATGAAGGCAACAGACGAGTACGGTCCCCCGAATGGTACACTAAGATCAGGCAAGGTGCTGACATTTCAGATTTGAATACCTCTGGCAAGACAACGAAAACTACAAGAGACCGACCAAGATGCCTGCCCCAGCATACATCGAGCAACTCATGACGTGGGTACAATCCAACATTGACAACGAATCTGTTCTTCCAAGCAAAATTGGTGAGTTGTGCAGCTTCACATGTATCAAGCTGGCCAAGTGCTGACTACGAGACACAGGCGTTCCCTTCCCCAAGTCATTCCCGGCTCTTGTCCGCCAAATTTTCAAGCGCATGTACCGAGTATACGCCCACATCTACTGCCACCACTACCCCGTAATTCGAGAGCTGGGCCTGGAGCCGCACTTGAACACTAGCTTCAAGCAATATGTGCTCTTCATTGATGAGCACAGCCTGGCAAGCGGCAGAGACTACTGGGGCCCTCTGGGTGATCTTGTGGACAGCATGCTCAAGAGCGACTAGACATTGAATGAAGTGGTGGTGCATGAGCTCTCTTTGTACGAATTATGGTTCATCTGGCGTTTGGGAATGCTGTATCGTTTTATTGTTTCATTGCTTCTTTTTTATTTTGGAGGGGGCCAAGGACGGAAAAGGATACAGACTTTGGGCCCCCTAGCATGAGCTCCTATGCGCCTCCTGCTACAATGAGCACGAGATTTTGCACGGAAGCATAGACATTGAGAGCACGAATTAATAACGTAACGTAAACATGAATACGAGTATGCCATAAACATCAAGAATAAGTTCACGTGCATGGTAGTTTTGAATGATGCTTCATCAGCACAAGACGGGAACAGCCGGCTCAGTTCGAAAAAAGTGGGACCATAGCCAGTGGTGGATGCCTCACCCGTAAGGCACCAACATCCAAAATTGCCGACACCGAGCAACCTCATCACGAAAACCGGCAGCTCCACGAACGCCGACATCAACACCGTCGAATCACCCTCCCCCCTCCTCTCAACATATCATCTTCCGTCCGGAACCTCGCCATGTTGTCTCGACAAGTCTTCCGTGCCGCCCGTGCCGCTGCCCCCCAGCGAGCCGTGACCCTGCGCGCAGCTCCCGTGCGGTCTTTTGCTGCTGCTGCCGCTGCCGATAGCCAGCCCCCGATTGCTGTGTTTGGCCTCGATGGCACCTACGCCTCTGCCCTGGTATGCGACATGCCACCAAGCTTGATGGAGCATGGCCAATTGGTTTCTGTCGGACTCGCGTCGTCACCAATTGAGTCCCCTGCGCCGGACGACCACAACCGCCAAGTCTAACAGTCCAACTAACCCACCTTGCGTCAATTAGTACACTGCCGCCGCCAAAACCTCTACCCTCGATCCCACGGCCAAGGCCCTCAGCAACCTCAACGCCATTGTCGAGAAGGACGCCAAGCTGTCGGAGATCCTGGCCGCTCCCACCCTCACCGCCGAGGACAAGGCCGCCATTGTCGCCGAGCTGGCCAAGCAGGCCGGCGCCGGCGGCGAGACGGTCAAGAATTTCCTCAGCACGCTCGCCGAGAACAACCGCCTGGGTCTCCTGAAGGGCGTCTGCGAGAAGTTTGGCGCCATCATGAGCGCCGCCCGCGGCGAGGTCGAGCTCAGGGTCACCAGCGCCCAGGTACGTTTTCCGTCCTTTCCCCCACTCTCCGTCTGTGCCGGCCGTGCTGGCTGACGCCGCAAAATGTGACGCACAGCCCCTCGACAACAAGACGCTGTCCCGCCTCGAGACGGCCGTCTCCAAGTCCCAGTACGTCGGGCAGGGCAAGAAGCTCAAGGTCACCAACGAAGTCAACTCGGACATTATCGGCGGACTTGTCGTCGAGGTCGGCGACCGCACCATCGACCTGAGCGTTTCTTCGCGCATCGCCAAGATGAACAAGCTCCTCACTGATACTCTGTAAATTTAATACACTGGCTAGCATATTACAAACTTGTCTCTCTGTTTTTTTTTGTTAGTCCCCGTTTGTTCTGCGTCGGCATACTCCCTTGGCTCTCGGGGGGAAACGGACAGCAATCTCGTGTACACTTGATGTATGAAGGGGGAAGAAAGGAAGAGCGTGCCGTAGTTGGCGGGCTGGAGAGGACGCTGAAGAGGCGGGGTGAATAGAAGCATTTACATACACGATTCTGTCTATGGCCTTGTGATGCTGACCCCTGTTTGTACTGCTACTCCTGTTGTAGCCTAGACTATACGCTTGCCACGGCGACAAGTTGAGAAAAGGAATCTATCTACGCACTCTGTACTTTTGTTCCAAGGAGGGCACTTGTATCCATGAATTGATGACGCCTCACGTGGTCGTTACGTAGTACGGTCAAATGAAAACACGACACACAATGGTTTACCACAAGTATCGTCGGCGTTGTCGACAAAGTTCTCGGCCACAATAATGATTTCATCTTTTCTTGCATCGTACCTCGTTACATCTAAGCCTTGGTCTCGTACTCGTCTGCGTGGCCCCCGTTGACGCTCTCGTCCTTGTATCTCTCCAACTGATCTGAAATATACCGATGCAAGTGCGAATCCGCCTCCTCCCTCTCCCTGGCCCTCTCGGAATCATCGTGAATGACCGAGTTGGTCACCGAGTGCGCGTCGTCGTCGACCCCGTTGGCAGAAGCCTCAAAGTCGCTCCGGGCCCCGATGGACCGGGCCGTCGAGGAGCGGCGGATCCGCCGCATGCTGGGGGACCGGGGCGTGCCGAGGTCCAGGCCGCGCTGGAACATGTCGTCAAAGTAATGGGCCATGGCGGCAGACGGCGTGCGTGGGGTTTGGGGGAGGCGGCAGTTTGTGCTGCGTCTTGTTAGCTCGCTCGTGCTCAACACGGAAGAGGAGGGGGGGGGAGGAGGTGACTCGTCTTACCCGGTGTCGTGGATCATTCTGGCAATGAGACCGGTCCAGCCGCACTGATGGGTGGCGCCTAGCCCGCGGCCGCAGTCGCCGTCAAAGAATTCGTAGAACCAGAGATAGTCCTTCCAGTGCTCGTCAAAGTCGAGGCGGTCGTCGCCGGCGTTGATGCTGCGTCTTCCGTCGTCGGTGCGCGCAAAGAGGTGCTGGAGGCGGTGCTGGATCTCCTCGGCCACTTTGCCCAGGTGCATGTAGTCGCCGCTCCCGGTTGGGCATTCCACCTGGAACTCTGGCCCGTAAAAGAGGTAGAACCGCTGGAGGGACTCGACCAGCAGGAAGTTTACACAGAGCCAGATTGGCCCCCTCCAGTTGCTGTTGCCGCCGAATAGACCCGTGTCTGAGTCGCCGGGGACGTAGCCAACCTTGAATTGTTGTCCGTTTACCTCCATGGAGAAGGGGCTTTCCTTGTGGAATTTGGACAGAGACCGAATCCCGTGGTCGCTGAAGAATTCATTCTCGTCGAGCATGCGCTTGAGAATCTTCTCCAGCCTGTCTTTGCTTACAATCGAGAGGAGCAGCCTGTCTCCCTTGCCCCTCTTTCGTATACTGGCCATGTTTCTCTCGGCCATGTCCTCCCGGTGTTGTACGAACCATTCCACCCGCTTGCGGAACGACGGAAGCTTATTCAAAAGCTCTGGTTCCAAGGTGGCCGTTGCGTACAGCGGAATGAGGCCGACAAGAGATCGGACTGGCAGCTGCTGGATATATGGACCGCCCCAGGAGATGGCGTCGTAATAGAAGCCATCTTCCTCGTTCCAGAGAGACTTTTCGTCCTTGTGCCCAGTCCTGAAGGTCATGGCATCGCTAATCAAGATGAAGTGCTCAAAGAACTTGGAGGCAATGTCTTCGTAAATGCGTCGGTGCTTGGCTAGTTCCAGCGCAATGTTGAGCATAGACAAGCAGTAAAACGCCATCCATCCCGTGCTGTCGGCCTGTTCCAACACGCCACCCGTGGGCAAAGGTTCTGATCGATTGAACAGGCCAATATTGTCAAGGCCGAGGAAGCCACCCTCAAAGACGTTTTTGCCATCGGCATCTTTGCGGTTCACCCACCAGGTAAAGTTGAGCAGCAGTTTCTGAAAGACCCTTTCCAAAAAGTCAAGGTCTTGACGTCCGTACATCTTTCTCTCAATTTTGAATGTTCTAAACGTCGCCCAGGCGTGGACGGGGGGGTTCACATCACTAAAATTCCACTCATATCTGCAAAGATGAATTTGTTAGTGATGGCACTGCATAAACCATGTCGTAGGGTCATCTTACGCTGGGAGCTGCCCATTTGGATGGCAATACCATTCCCTAGTGAATAAATCCAGCTGCTTTTTGGCAAAATCAGGATCAATCATGGCCAAGGGTATACAGTGGAATGCGCTGTCCCAGGCGGCGAAGAAGGGGTACTCCCAAGAGTCGGGCATTGACAAGATGTCATCACAATGCATATGTCTCCATTGGGAGTTCCGAACACCCATTCGTTCCGGAGGCGGCGGCGGCGACGATGGGTCGCCCTTGGCCCATTGGTCCCAGATGAAGTGGTAATGCTGCTTTGTCCACATCATTCCTGAAAAGGCTTGTCGTTGAATGTTTCGTAGGTCGTCAGATATGGGGAGGGGACTGATTCGGTAATAAAACTCATCCGCCTCTTCACGTCGTTTCTCAATAACGTCATCAAATTCTTCTTCGTCAAGATATGTCATGTTCTTCTTGCTGAAACGGAAGCGGACAACTGCGAGGGTTCTGGTCAGCCTACAAATTACAGGGCAACCATTGTTTTGCCATACCTGCGCATTCACCGGGATTCACGCCACCATCCTCGTTGAAGTTGAACCAAGCAGCTGACTTGGTGCCAGTTTTACTCGGGTTGATGGCTGCCTTTTCCCCACCGACAACGTATCTATGGAACGCGTCCTTCACATAGGGCTGCTTGTTCTTTTGCTTGTACAAGAGCTCATAGTTTGTGTCATTTTCCGTAAACATCCACAGAGGCACCACATCCTCACCACTGGATCCTACTCCCGGTGAGGGCGAGTAGTACACATATCGGTCTCCAAGGCTATAGTGTTTTGATTTGGCTGACAGCTCGGATTCTGCAGCAATGGACGGTCTTTTGTCTTCGGATTCGTGACCCCAGCTCCACGTATTGCGAAACCACACTTGGGGGATGATGTGGAGAGGTGCCGGGTCAGGGCCCCGGTTCCAAGCGGTGACCCGAAATAGCAACTCGTCAGGATCGTCGGATTCTTTAGCGGTCTCGATGAAGATGTCCCAATATCTGTTTTCGTCAAAGACACCAGTGTCGATGATTTGATACTCCTTGTCTTCCTTGCCTCTCCGACCGTTTTCCTGTATCAAGTCTTGGTATGGAAACTTTTTCTGCGGATACTTGTAAAGGAATTTCATGTACGAGTGCTGATTGGTTAGTTTGGGTTATGTTGAAACAGGAAGATATCATAGATGTCTTACTGTCTGCATGGGTGTTAGCATCTGTATTGCCACGGTTTTGAAGCCAATTCCAATGTATATATAACTATAAAAGAGAGAGAGAGAGAGGGAAAGGGAACACTCACAGGAGTATTGTCTACGTGAAAATGGGCTTCCTTGACGCTCTCGCCATGGTTTCCCTGGGGGTTGGATAGGCCGAACAGTCGCTCTTTGAGAAAATCGCTGCACAAAAAGTTAGCCTGGGAACTGATTTCGGTCCACGGCCAAGCAGCAACGCACTCCTCTTCGTTCCAAAAGCTGAAGGCGATGTTCTGGAGACCGTGCGTATCGGAGACACCGGCAATGCCGTCTTCACCCCATCTGAAGGCCCGGGATCGAGCGTGCTCATGAGTGAAATCTAGGTCAACGGTTAGGATTCTGGCCTAGGAGGGACGTATTGAGCAATTGGGCCATGAGAAGGGCTTACGGCTCCAGGCATCTCCATCTGCGCTGTAGTCCTCCCGCACTGGAAGCCGGTCAGTACATCATTGCACCACGGCACTCTGGCAGACAACAGCCGCGCACCTGTAGCCCATTGCCGCTCGGCAACATAGGGGCCCCATTTCTTCCAGTATTTGGTTCGCTCGCGATCCTGCTTGAGGCGTCTCTCCTCCTCGGTAAGATACTCGTGGCCGTCGAAGACAACCATGGTGGACCAGGATCTGGGAGCAACTGGTCGGATCACGGCACCTCAATTGGTTGGAGAATGGAGCAACAGAAGAGCCAACAGCAAAGGGAAGCAGAGCATAGGGCTTGCTCAGGATGTTAAAAAAAAAGGAGTAAGTAGTTGGCTTCAAGACGGAGAGCAAGAAGGTAGCTGAGGGCTCGTGGTGGAAAGAAAAAGGTCTCCGTCGGCACGATGAAGGCTTGGTTATGGTGTGCTGGTGCTCGGGAGCATGTGTCCGACGCCACCCACTTGGTAAGCTCCCGCTCACTTACAAAGCTACTAGGTTCTATTCAGTTTGGGCTGGATCCATGTCGAGTCGGTGTATTACAGAGAAGAATTCCATCATTGCTTTCCTCGTTGGAGGACAGACGGACGAACGTGGGGCAGATTCTTGATGGCGGGGCATCGTGGCTGGTGAAGAGTCGTGATTGATGGAGGCTCAAGAGAGTTTGTTCTTATCGGGCCATTCCTTGCAAGGGGCTTCAAAGCGTTGGGGGCGTTTTTTCCATGTTGCTACTAGTACTACGGAGTACTTATCTGTTTATTACTTAAGCATCCATCACCTGTTGTTCATGACTATATCGTCAGGAGCTCCAGATGTCGATGGTCTGCAAGATGGTATTCAAACCCGCTCCCCCACACGGATGAGGTCTGACGCCTACAGTTTCCACAGCCATCGGGCTGTACAACTGCATTACGGAGCACGATCCCTTTGATCAAAGACAGGGGCAGGCGCCGCATGGTGATGGGCCACTGTACATTGTCTTCCAATGAGACGGCAGCCTTCCCCCTGGCAGAAGCAGAGCTGGATTTTGCCAAGGCAGGGACAGCAGCATGTACAGTGACGTCGTCGAGTCGTCCCAGGTAAACCACATGGTTACGCGCAACTCAAGATGGCAGATGGTGGCTTCGACTAGCCTGCTAGCGTCTAGTCTCGGGTAGTTGATAGTTACAACGAACTGCTCAACTGGTTTCTCGGAGAGAGGGACACATTTGAATACAGTGTTTGAAGCAAAGGCTACACTCGTACCGACGCCATCCGGGTCAGCGTTGGGCAGGGCAATCCAGGCCACCACGGACCGCAGTCGCTACGAATTCCGATGCCGCAGAAAGCGTCGTCTTGCGTAATGGCTCTTGGCTTGCGCACACGTCACGGAGACGTCTGGTGATGGAAGTTGGAACCATGATGCAGCGCATCAAGTCTGGTCGGTTGCACATGTGGGGACGACGACGAATTTTAGGTACTGGCTTACCTCGCTGCAGGGTCACACCCGCTGAACACCCACTGAAGCTCAGCGCTTGGCGCACCAGATGTGCACCCAGCCAATGTCAATGAAAACTTAAGTACTTAGTCAACACGTCAACTGGTATTGACCACAATGTTTCAATGTTCAGAGGACTCTGCTGCCAGCGCTGACATGCCGAGCACTTCCATCCCTGTGAACAAGTCACCATTGAACCCCCTCCCCTGTCAGCTTCATGCTTCCAATAATAAGTTGACGATTTTGCCCCAAAGCCACGAATCCTACTCCACCCAACTCATCTGGAGTTCCCACTTTGTCTGTTCCTGGCCTGTCAGGCACATTCATGAACCCTCTCAGCCACACCCTGCCACATCTTCACAATCTGAGCCTTGGATCGCCCCAAACTCCGCCACAGGATTCGTCCTCTCACCACTCAACGACCATACATCTCAAGTTCTGTCATCTTTCTTTCCCCGAGCGATCATGTTGCGCTGCTGTTTCTAGGTCTTTATGTCTTTTTATTACTCCTCCTTATCTAGAATTCTTCTTGTCGCCTCTTCATCGCCTTCCCGTCCCTATACGACTCTCAATTCCTTTTTCTTTTCCCTTCCGCCCATACATTTTCCCTAGCGTATATCCGTTCGAGTTTCCGTCCCCGTCTGCCTCGGCCTCTAGACATGTCGGACGCCGTTTCCCTCCTGCGCCGCCTGATTCTCGAGTCGCCCCCTGGAGAATGGGCACTGAATCGCCTCCGCGAACTTCTGATAGGGGCCTTGCGCCAGGGTCCTGTGCCGCAACATGTGGCCTTTGAAATGGATGGGAACAGGCGGTATGCCAGGAGTCACAGGATGGAAACGGTCGAGGGGCATCATCGCGGATTCGAGGCTCTTGCCAGGGTATGTTTAGCTTCCCCATCTCTCCCTCTCTCTCTCCGCGGAGCGAGCTACCGCTAACCGGCGTCTTGGTTGGTGGTTTGCGCATTCTAGATTATGGAAATTTGCTACAAGTGCGGCGTCAAGGTCATCACCGTCTATGCGTTCAGCGTCGAGAACTACAACCGGCCCAAGCACGAGGTCGAAGGGCTCATGCAGCTGGCCAAGGTCAAGCTGGAGCAGCTCACCACCTACGGCGACATCCTAGACCGCTACGGCGCCTGCGTGCGCGTCCTCGGTCAGCGTGAGATGATCCGGGAAGACGTCCTCAAGGTTGTTGACAAAGCCGTTGCTAGGACCAAGCACAACAACAAGTATGCCATCCGTAGACGCTGCCGCCGTTTCCCAAACGATGAAGCTAACCCCCGTGCGTAGGACCGTCCTCAACATCTGCTTCCCATACACGTCGCGTGCCGAAATCACCACGGCCATCCGCAACACCGTCCAGGACTTCCTCAACCCGCCGCCGCCCAAAAACACCCCCTTCTCGCCCTCGCGCATCCGCCAAAAGATCCTGTCCAGCCAGCTCGACGGCAAGGAACCCCTCCCCACCATCCTCGACGCCGATGACGACGACGACGTGCCCGAAGAGACGAGCATGGACAACGACGAAGACGCCGGCGACTCGTCGTCCACCACCCTGCCGCCAGACTCACCCTCGCCCAGCCTCCGCACCCGCTCCTCCTCGACCAGCCACCTCCCCAACCCGGAATCCATCACCACCGACACCCTCAACGACCACATGTACACGGCGTCCGACCCGCCGCTGGAACTCTTCGTGCGGACCAGCGGCGTCGAGCGCCTCAGCGACTTCATGCTCTGGCAGTGCCACCAGGACACGCAAATCGTCTTCATCGACTGCCTGTGGCCCGATTTCGACCTCCAGCACTTCATCTGGGTCATGCTGGAGTGGCAGTGGCGCCAGAAGCAAAAGGAGAGGGACGAGACGAGCACCCTCGTCAAGGCCAAGAGCCGCCGCCTGGTAGAATAGAAATGAGCGTAGAGGAGTGTATTTATACCCCGTGCTTTTACATAGGGACTTTTTTTCTTTTTTTTCGCGGAGGGAGGCACATGGCGTATTATTATCATCATTTTTTCAGCTTCTGCAATATAGATTATTCACCTAAATTTAGTTCCATCTACACCACGTTTCATACGGCTGACTTGAGAGCTCTGGCAGGCGTACCAGCACCGTCCTGGGGCTTGCAACCACGTACGGGCATGTATGCAAACATTGATAGATAGCACACCGCATGTACACGACGAGGGCAAAACCACCCTTCTTCAGCCTTGGGCATTGAAACCCCCAGTAACTACCCGGCATGGCGCGCGCCGTGCAAAGTCTCGCCGTGCAATGCATCTTTCCCAGAAACAACAAGGTCCGCCACACGATGAAATTTCTACCATGTACGTAGCGACCTAGACACCCCCTATCCAGTCCAGTCCCTTCAACATGATGCCAACGCCGCCGTTCCGTCCCCACGCAATTCCCCCAGAATGTACACCAGACGCCCGGGAAAGCTACAAATCAAATCAAATGGTATACAAAGACTCGCTACAACGGCACCGCGTCCAACCAGCAGACAAGACTCTCCCAGATGTGCTAGCGTCCGCCCGACTTTTTGGCCCCCATTTTCAAGCGCTCCTTGCAGTCCTCGCAGTACCATTTCGCTGCCGAGCCGCACGTTAGAAAAAAGAAATAAATGACTGCACGGGTAGAGTTTGCGACGGGATAAAATAAAAGCCAGCACTTACTCCTTGAGCCCGGCGCAACCTTGAGCCCTACACAAGCCAGGTGGAACCACTCGCGCTTGCAGTCGTCTGCATCGCAGGCCACCATCTCGCCATAGCTGACGCTATTGCAGTAACAGTACGTCGGTTCGTCGCCGTCAATGTCGCCGTCTTCGTCGTCTCCCTGCATGCTGCTGCTGGCATCCGTGTCCGCAGCCGCGGCCGCCTGTTGTATGAGGGCTACTTGTGTCACGGGTCCGCTCTTCTTGTGGCTCTTTTTGGAGCCCGTTTCTGTGCTCCGCGAGGGGCGTGAACGAGCTGCTTCTTGAAAGGTGGCCAGCGCTGGCGTTGACGGTTTGCTTGCCCTGCCAGTCTTTGTAGTTGCCGTGGCGGGAGTCGCTTGCGGAGTGGCGGATTCGCTTTTCCTATCGGGTTCGTCTGGCTTTGCATCCTTCTTCGCAGTGGCAGGTGTAGAGTTGCTGGACGTCTCGGGTCGCTCGCTTTCTTTCTTGGCGGGTTCCGTCTTGACGGGCGCACTTTCTTCCTTGGCTGGTTTTGCTTCTTGCACAGCTCGAGGGAATGTCGCGACTGAAGCCATTTCGGGCGTGCCTTGGCCGTTGCCGCTGGGTTTGTTGGCAGCCGAGGGGGCGGGCCGAGCTTTTCCGTTTTCCGCATTGGACTGTATTGAGTTCTGTCGGGCACGGGATGATGCTGGACGCGGCGCGCTGGTGGTGGGAGGCGGCGATGCTCGAGCAGGTGCTTTTGGATCGGGGAAAGTTCCCATGACGGGAGAGGACGTGACTGAGGGTGACAGGCCGTTCCTAGCATGCATGTTAGTAAAACGGACGCCAAGGTCGGCCGATATGAAACGTATGCCTGGAGAAGAGAAAACAAGAGGTGGTAGACGATGGTCAGACACATACTTCTTCTTCGCTTGTCCACTGCCTGTCGGCAAGGCTTTTCGTTTCTTGGGCCCGTCTGGCGCGGGAGTCCCTCGGGGACTGCCTGTCTTGGGTTTTGGAGCATTTGTACCAAACACAGTACTCATGGCGCCTCCAGTACCGGTGTTGGCTCCATTGACTGTCTTTTCTACCTTCCTTCTCTTTTGAGGGGGGTTGCCATTGGTAGACGGGGCTGGAATACCCGATGCCGTGCTGTTTGGATCAGCAGTGACAGTTTTTCGAGACTTGGCCGTGGTCTTCTTGGCCGGCTCCTTGTGGCGGGCCTCTAGGTCGTCCGCGTCAGAGTCTTGCTGCTGGTTCTTCAGACCCTTCTTGGCCTGCACAGCTTGCTTTCGGGCGTCGCTTCTAGCAGCCGCCTCTTCAGCGAGTGCCTGGGCGGCGGCCGAGATTGCGGCGGCACCATCCCGACGAGCCCTTTCGGTATGGGATACTTTGCTACCAGTTCGATTCTCGGGATATGCCCAGTGTGTAGTGCTGCCCCATTTCGCTTCGTCACTGAATTCGTTTTCCAAATAGGGCCACACATCTTCGGCTCGCGCAAGTTGTCGTTGCAAGGCCTCATTCGCGGTGGAGAGCACATGGTTCTTTTCTTCCAACGAAACTAGCATCTCTTGAATCTTGAATGCAGTCTGTCGAAAGAGCTGTCGGCGTGGAATGTTGGAGGGGTCGAAGACGCTGGTGGGCGCGGCACTGGCCTCGTCGAGTGACGGAGCCGAGGACGCTCGAGCGGGATTCAAGGCCATCCCGCTGGAGCTATTCTGCGTGCTCATGGGGGCTGATGCTGGCTGCGCCGTGCCTGCGGCGTCATTGTTCGCTCTGGCTTCGGGAAAGGATGAGTTGGAGATGGCGGCGACCAGCTGAAAGAGCTGTTCTTCGGGAGCAAAAATCTTGGCGTCGACTTCCTTGAGCAGAGTGAAGTGTCGTACAAGCTCCTTGGGAAGCGCAGAGATTGTGTCGGCAAAATGGGTAATCGCAGGGAATATCTCAATAGGCTGGCATCCCAAAGGACGGCCATTGACGGGACCTCGACCGTCTCCGGATCGATCAGCGTTGGCGGAGCTTCGTTGAGGATTCGTTCGTGCCTGCCGAGCGGGCTGTGATCTTCGATGCGATGGCGTATCTGCCGCCACCGGTTTCGCCGACTTCATCTTGTATATATGCGTCAAATCTATGCTACAGCTGTAGTAGGGACATAAGAGTATATTGGCATATGGGTATGGGCAGGTAATTCCGTTGGGCTCGGGCTGCGGTGGTGGTCGCGATCGGTAGGTCGAGTGACGACGCAGCGAGGCTACGCTGGTGGGGAGCGCGCGGGTGAAAAAGATGACGAGAAGACAGATTACAGATGTGCAATGCTAGACCATTCTGGGGCCATGCCAAATATTGTGCGAGCAAAAGACATACAGCTGCACACAACGTTCGAACATGGGCGTGGAGGGGATGGGAAGAGGGCGGAAGTTTTGGTCGAGTAAAGTAGCGGGACGCAGATGAGCGCAGACGGGCCAGTTGACTGACCAGTTGACGCAAATGGCAGCTCAAACCTACAGCGTGGTTTGTGGTTCGAGGTGAACTGAGGGCTCCCTACCGCTCAGGCGTCTTCAGGGCGCCACCGCCGCATCCCGATTGGCTGGCTGGCCCAAAATGTCCCGGCTGTGGGAAAATAGAGACTCCGGCGCCGGACATGAACTAGGCACCTGGGAACTCATCCATCGGGTGCCACAGTCGATCTCTCTTCTGTCGAGTTGTACCAAGATGTTTTCCGTGACCGGCCAAAGACGCAGAAATTAGGGAAATCCATCTCGTGTGGGTTTTATTTGCCTGTGAGCGCGAAACATCTACTTGCGTATGGTTAGCTTCAAGGCCATCGCCCTACATTTCTTCCGTAGTCAACGCTCGCCTATCCTCTTTGAAGCACCACACCATATGCAGCACTGCGGACATCGGCCGAGAGATGCTCAATGATTTATTTTGCGCACTGGACAATAAAAGCGACGGTTGTGTCGCCTAATAAGAGGCTTCGATGGCTTGTGACTTGCCCTCTGGACTTGTCACGTGACTACGCGCAAGCTACGTGCTTCTGCGGGTCTTTTAGGGGGCACTTGGTCAGCGTACGTAGTATCGGGAACGGACATGTCCTTTGAAAAGCGTCATTCAGAGAATTGGAGCGCGTGCTCAAATCGAAAGTACTTCTCCCCGGCATGACCGCCAACCTCATGGCATCAACTTCTGCGGAAACATGAGGCTCTGGTGAGTGGTCATCGAAAAGCGACTTAATTTAGGGACACCAGCCCAGACCCGTTTTCGTGGGGCTACACCTATGTACGGGCATATCGAGAAATGAACAAGGAGACATCGTTGTGACGCTTGCTTTCTTCCAATCAGGATAAAGAAATGGTCAACGTCAATGCACGTTCAAATGTAGGCCAAGATATATGCCTTTCGCTGGCCTGATCGCTTTGCACTCGAGAGCCCCTGCCCAGGAAGGTCAACAGAAGAAGATCAGGCTAACCTGCAGAGTATCAAGACCAAGGTCGGATCGCGGTTTCTCGTCTTCTTAAAATCTGCATAGTATGGTGGCACTGAAACTACCGTCTCAGAAATATTGAACTTGATGCGCCCAGCATTTGCCGCATGTAACCCCCACCGGGGACAGGAAGCAGTAGTGTGGCATTGTTGGCGTAAATATTCCCAGTTCTTAACCACTGGCCCAGATGATTGCAGAGGTTCGTCCGTTGTCATGTCTCCTGAATAGTCAGTCTTGTCTTGGTCGACCCCGGTTTGATTCCGGAGGACATATCAGTCAGTATCTCTGGCATGGATTGACACGTCCACTGACAACGTCGGATGACGTTAGATTTATGCGTTGAAGTTGGACGAAGTCTCCCTCAGTTCGTCCTCCTCGACATGGGCCGCTTGTGCTTGTTTGGTCACTGTGGTAGCACTGCAGGGACGTCACCCCTGTATACGCTCTCTGCAGGGGAAACAATTACACATGTTTATTCACTTGCTACACCACTGGTCAACAGGATGATTACCTGGCACATTGCCATTGGACATTTATGCCGTCAATTTATCCGAGTTCGGCCTGAATAGTCGGGCGGCAGGCAAACAGGGCACCGGCCGAGCTGAGAGAAAGGCCACTGTCGAGTGAAGGTATTGGAGACCGAAGCTTAAGCAAAATATCAAGCATCATGGCGCCCGTAGGGTTGCCTGTCTGAAACACACGGCGACCATTTCGTACTGACTCTTTGTCTGCGTCCTCTTCTGTTTTGTAGCGACAAGATTGCCCCGCTCGGCCTCGTGTTGAATGAAATGCATTACTACATTGCAGTCTCCAGGCGTATTCTGCGGCCAGGAGAAGTCTCTCTCGGCCAAATGGAGCCTGTACAATGAATAAATTACTTGTTACGGAGCTCGTCTTCTTCTTCCAGACGTCTGCAGTACCGATCCAGAACCTGAGGTTCCCCGTATATTAGGGTGCGCATCCATGTGAACCAGGGGCGGGGGGTAGAAACGTGCATTTGTTGTCACTCTGCAAATACGATACAAGGTCCGGATTCATGTTGGTATGACAAGCCCTGCGTGTTAGTATTATGCCTTCTTGTCCGAATCTCAGTGTTAGTGCAGTTGTTCTGTCCACCATCTTTTGCGTCTGGGTACCAGTTACTTAGAATAGACTGCCAGTGGACTCGACTCCGTGTCCATTGAACGCCACGCAGGTGCTCCCGGCGCTTGACTGGCCCATGGCTTCATGGTAAAAGACACTTAGCCTTTCCAAGGAGAAGTGTTTGTTTCCTCATCTCTTTACCCCACAATCCGCTAAGACGCAGGCGGCTGGCTTCGGGTTTGGGATTTTGCTTCGGCGGAGGCGCCGGCGGCTATTAAAGCGCCTAGCAAAAATTAATGACCAGGGCACCAGGATCGTCGGTCTGCGGACAGTACGACCTGAGCTAAGGCTCTTTAAGCGGTGTGCAGTGGACCGACGAGGCTACTCTGATATTGAGTTGTCACGAAGCCTGTTATCATGAAACAGCAACCGAGTGAAACGTAAGGTATGGTCGTATGAGAGAAGGCGAAGCGATGAGTGCGTGTCTATAGTGACATCATTTGGCTCACAAGGCGAAGAGCCTCCATATCCCTGCTGCGCCGCAACCAGTACGAAGCAGCTCGGCTGCTTGGTCAGGTGTACATCATCCCTATTGGTGACACAACATATGGTTCCACGGCGTTGCCGTTAGATCCAGTGTAGGGCAGGGGAAGCAGACAGCGTGGGACTCGCGGCCGGTGCTCTGGGCTCTCCCATCTGGTTTGGAGTACGGAGTAACTACAGAACAATTTGCTCCGCGAAGAAACAAACAAGCGGTATCAGGCCATTCAGGGCCTGGATTTGCAGCCTAGCGTGGTGCCAACAGAGTGATAATACTGCACAGCACGAGCCAAGACGAATGTCTCTCATCGTACTCCGTACTCCGTAAACACCCGCCCGGACCAGAGAAGATGAGTACGTAGGTCACGAGGCCACTGTTGGCTGCAACAAATAATTCGGCGAAAATAGACGGGCGGGTGCGGCCGCCACAATGCTGGGTCATCCTTTGCAAAATAAGAGAGTGACTGCAATAGCAAAGGGGATTAATTACGACACACCTGGAAGCGAGCAGCCAGAGGGAGACGGCCTGTGTCTTCCCCGTCCTGAATGTGCGCGCGACTGTGCGCGACTGTGTGCAAGTGAGGAGATGGACACAAGTCCATGACCCATGGCCACTGGCAGTTTTCATTACCACATCTAAACCCCCAGCCGCCGACTAAAGGAGGGCGGGCTGACTTGGGGAGAAGCCGGCAGGGAGTTGTCGACAGCACGAAATGGCGGACACAGGTGGTGTGTGGCATTGGCTCATCCACGGCCTGGATTGCGGAGCGAGGCAACAAACATATTCGTGGTTGCAACAAACTGGCGAGGGATATTTCCTGTCAATGCCCGGTTTACGGGTTTGCCAGTCAGGCGCGGCAGGAGCGACCGGTGCGAAGACATGAGAATGCCGACTGCCGAGTGGCATGGCCAAAAAGAAGGCGGAAGGAACGGTGGAAGCCGCATGGCCCCGGAGCTGAGGCAGGAGCAGGGGAGCAGGGGAGGGGCAGCAGGCAGCAGGGAGCAGGGAGCTACGACTTCAAGCGTCGAAAGTCCGATGCGGCGAACCCACGCCGGCAAACTCGCACCTTGGGACGCTTCATGCAACGTCAGGCAAGCTCATGCTCGGCCAGCAACAACCAGACAGGCAGGGGCCTGCGAGAGCACCACCAACGCCGTGGCAATGGCTAGTATTACGGACTGCAGTCCCACGGAATATTGCCCATGGCAATCACGGATGGCGGTTGGGCGGGCGGGTGTCTGCCCTCGCAGAGCTCACATGACCCGTCAGAGACCCTTTGGCATCCCAGTCGTCTATTTTCATTACTCAATCCCTCCGATTTTGAGGCTAACGACACGCCAGCAAAGGTCGACTCTGCAATGCTTTCGGGGGGTCCACCGGCTTCCCAAGTGGCGCAATGCGCTCCCAAAGCTCCAGTCCGTACTATGTCCCCCGGAGCGCGCCTCTGCTGCGCATGCGTCTTGGGCGAATCAGCGACCATGATGCCAGAGTTTGGGGCAAGGCGAGGCCTGCATCGGCTGCGAGGACATGTCAAGTGCTGGAGCTTGGGAAGGGCTGTGGCGTGTGCGTCGAGCTGTCGGCGTCTTGCTTCTTGGTGGTGGGTGTGTGACAGATGAGCCAAGATGGAGCCAGGCCAAGAACAGGCTAATGACAAAGTCCATGTCTGTCTGTCTCTTCCTGACTTATAACCCAAACACCTTTTGACGCAAACCCACCTGGAAGCCACCGAATTTATTTCCATCTCGTCTGGCACCTCATTCCATGGTTCTCCCTTCCGTCTCGACCATTCAACACGGCAGCCTACAGAACCTTCTCGTCTCGACTGTCCTCCTCAACACCGAATCTCTCGTGACGTAGTTTGCGAGTCAGCCGACACAAGCCGCGGAGAGGCTTCTCTATATCGCCTTGTTTCTTTACCTTTTTTGCCTCCTCTGACGCGAGCCGTACGACAGTCGCAACTGCAGATCACGACACGCTGCGCTTTCTGTGCGACGATAATT